GGGTGCCCTCGAGCAGGTCCTGTTGCGGTGCGATACTTACTTGACCAAAGATGGCCGCGAGGTTATTCTGGATGAACCACGGCGCCAGGCCGTGAGGCAGGCGGCAGAGGAGATGGCATCAGAGGGGCTACGGGTTCTCGCTTTCGCCAGTGGAGGAGTGAGGGACGCTACTAGAGGCAGGGCATTTGGCAGCAGATCGGGCACCCCCGTGTCCAAGTCCAGCCAAGGCGACGATGACGATCGCTACAATGGGCTAGTTTTTGCGGGTTTGGTAGGAATGAACGATCCCCCGCGCAAGGATGTCCACAAGTCTATCAGACGTCTCATGGCTGGAGGCGTGCGAGTTATCATGATCACAGGAGACGCGGAGACTACTGCAGTGGCCATTGCGAAGAAACTGGGAATGCCCGTCAGCGACGCCCCTGGGTCACGGCCCGTCATCAATGGACATGAGATTGATCGGATGAGCACCGCGGAGCTCGCGCAAGCCATCTCCTCTACCTCGGTCTTCGCCCGCACCAGTCCGGACCATAAAATGAAGCTTGTGCGCGCTCTGCAGTCCCGCGGCGACGTTGTGGCCATGACTGGTGATGGCGTCAATGACGCTCCAGCTCTGAAGAAGGCGGACATTGGCATCTCGATGGGCAAGTTGGGAACTGATGTCGCCAAGGAGGCGGCCGACATGATCTTGACAGATGACGATTTCTCGACAATCTTGCGTGCGATTGAGCAGGGCAAGGGCATCTTCTACAATATCCAGAACTTCATCACGTTCCAGCTCAGCACCAGTGTTGCTGCGCTGAGTCTCGTGCTGCTGAGCACCACCTTGGGTTTCAAGAACCCACTAAATGCTATGCAAATCCTCTGGATCAGTAAGTTTATCGCCATTGCGTGTTTTTCGCGTGTTGCTAATATTAGTTCCTAGATATTCTCATGGATGGTCCGCCTGCGCAATCACTGGGTGTAGAGCCCGTTGATCCGTCTATCATGAACCGTCCTCCGCGCCCTAGGACTGCCCGTGTGCTCACCAAACCCCTCATCCAACGCGTGCTCACATCGGCGATGATGATCATGGTTGGCACTCTTGCCATCTACATCCACGAAATGGGTGACATTGATGATACGGCCAACCCAGGAAAGCGCTCCCGCGTGGTGACGGCTCACGACACGACCATGACATTTACTTGCTTTGTGCTGTTTGATATGTTCAATGCATTGACCTGCCGCAGTGAGGGGAAGTCGGTCCTGCGGGGCGAGATATCTCTGTTTGGGAACAAAATGTTCAACTATGCTGTTCTTGGCTCGCTCGCTGGGCAGGCATGTGTGATTTACCTTCCATTCTTGCAGCGGGTCTTCCAAACGGAACCCCTGGGCCTGGGGCACCTGTTCCGGCTGGTGTGCATTTCGAGCACCGTGTTTTGGGTTGATGAGGCCCGGAAGTACTATATGGCATTGAAGCGACGAGGGACTGTGGGGGGGGTTACAGTGTCAATGTTTAATAGAGGGCTGGGTTATATGTATAGAGGGAATGCATTTTTCTTGTGTATTATTCTACTTTTTTTTGGGTGGGTGTCTGATAGCTTCGAACATGACCATGTCATCCAGGTGAGAGATTCAACTAGGGTTAAAAAAATACCTACAGAGATGATGAAGCGAGGGGGGAAAAATGGAGTTGGGTGCCATTTGTCCGTCCGTACTTACTGCGAATGGCTCATTAAATCAGTTATCGTTTATTTGACAGTACACTCACTACATACACACACACATACATATAGATAGAAAGAGATAGGATAGATAGGTAGGAAAAGAGAGAAAGCAAAAAATGTATGACCTACGCAGGATTCGAACCTGCAATCTCTTGATCCGTAGTCAAGCGCCTTACCATTGGGCCAGCAGGCCAGGGTGCTGAAATATTAGCCTTTTATTTGTTACATAGCCCACGTATTTTAGTTAACCTTCAGCACTTGTTCCCAATGCTCAGTCCTCTAGAATACTTTCATACACCTATATGTGTGCAGCTGGTGCTATTACAGGGTAGGTCTATGTGTCGAGTAAATGACACAGTAGACATCGATTGATTACATTTGTCGAGAAAGGTTCCTACATAATGTGGTCCATGGTCATGTGATCCAGTCCTTTTTTTCCGCCCATATCAAGGATATCAGTGGCCTGCTTTCTCTGTTTTACTACGACTCTATTGGCCTAGTCCAATATCACTAGTCTCTTCGTTATCATTGGGTTACTGGTCCCTGGACGCTATTGTATGTTGTTAATGTTGCCATGGTCCTAGTCAGTTGCCACAGCTTGGGGTCATAAATATAGCAAGCTTCATGCAGGTGAAACGTGCACCAGGCCAGTGCTTCCAAGCAAAAAATTCCCGATCAACTGATCAATAGTAGTGAGGACCCATGCAGGTCAGCTCACTGAGACTATCCGCACAATGTCGTCAGTATTAACAACCACAGATCAAACTCACTAGCCAAGGACATATCTGTTCCAGCAGTCGATCTGCGTTCCGCAGTCGGGACCCAAAGCCACGTGTAGCTATTAAATAGGGGGTCCATACACGAGACACGGTGACTCGGACATCCAACTGATGCCAAAAGTCTTTGCCGGAGCCTTACCGTTGAGGCTGCAAGTGCCCCGACTCCAGAACATGAGATTCCCACAGGGTCCGCAGCTCATAAAGGGACGACACAGGAAGCCGATTCCTATTAATCCGCGACCCCGGAATTGCATAACCAGTCACCGCATTGCCCGCTCGGCGTATATGTTGAGTTAGAACTCCCAGATCGCAGGGTGACTTCGTAGGAGTCATTGGATTTATTAACACGGGCGTGATGAATCACTGGAATTAGGACGCATTGCGCCGGGGCATTTCTCGATCGCAGCGTAATTAGGGCTGTCTGCAGATAAAAGTTAGGTAATAGTGCTTGGCCATGCCCGGCCAGCCACCAGGCAACCGGGATTGTGATTGGCCCCGGCGATGGCCTCATGGCTCATGCCCGGGCCTTCTCCAGTCACCCCCGTGAAGATGCAATTATGCAATGGGCCAACAAGGGCCCGCAATGCGCACGTGGCCACCACGGGGAGACTAATTCCATCTCGTGCAGCGTTCGTGACATCTCCGCCCCGGCCCCTGACCCATCGGCCGACGGCCTGATTATACAGGCACCTACCCTTTGATATCTGGAATGCCTGGGCCATACTGGGGAATGGCAGAGCGGGATTCTCCCGACAGGAAAGTAGTCCAAATAAGCATACTCGAGACCTGGGAACTAATGATCAGCGTCCGGTTTAGTGATAAGATATTCAGCAACATCAACCCACCTTGCGGATGATACTGGCACCTTACTCGACAGGCAGTCCTGAGATAAGCTGTTAGTGCAGCGGATACGGGGTTAGTTATATGGAGAAGATCGAGGAGGGAATCCTTTAAATAATTAAGGACAGGTACTAGTTCCTTCACCGAAGCTACATGCTCCATATCTCTTCAGACTTCCATGCCCCTGGTCGGGGGAGGATATCTATCTAGGGCATCCTACGTATGAACCACCGCCTTACCCGGTTGGGTATCGTGTTATCACTCCAGGGTCCAGTACACTGGTCCGATGTAGGATCTCAGTCGACTGCTGATAGGTTAAGGTAGCCTACCTACTGCCTACGGTCCACCCCACGCGACTACCGGCTAGGCCGAGGACTAGCATCATTATTGCTGCCCCGTCAGGCGTATCTCATAGGTAGGCCATTCGTACTAAGTATGGCTAGCACGGCATCTACTATCTAGGCTCTCTATCTATCTACCTGGTACCTACCCCTGGGGAGCAAATTCTCCGAGCCGCGATGATAGTCAGGAGTACGGAGGGAGGACAGACCTGGTACAATAGCCACGCTGGAGTGTTCACCGCATCCACCGCGTGTTCATTGGAGGCCTCCGAGCAGGCAGCCAAGATGAAACCCGCCAAGAGCCAAGCAGCGACGCCGACGAGTCAGCCGTCCATCCGCCCGAAACAGGCGCCCAGCAAGCCGAGCCGGCGATAGGAACTGGGCCGCGCTTTCCCGAAAAGTCCCGAGTGGGCATCGGGAGAATGAGGAAGCCTAAACCTAATCCGAGCGGGACTTCATTGGCCAAGCTTCTCGTTATCAACGCGGTGGGGTCTTTCGAGGCTGAGCTACACCGGATCCGGTGCTAGAGGGCCCCACCCCGGATGTAGGTGGCGCGCAGGGCCTTATCGTGACCTCCCAACCAATCGATTCGGAGTAGTGATGAGCTCAGAGAAATGGACCGTGATAAGAGGCCCTGTCGAGGGTTTCCAGTTTTCCACGGAATGGCGACGGTCGTGGGTGCCGCATTGGGGTGAAACACGATGATCTCGATGACTGGTTCCAGGCATTGGCCGTTGGAATCTCAATGTGTAGTCGTTTCGAAGAGGAAACATAGTTTGGGGGGATCGGACCTCCCCTTTGGATTCATTTCTCCCAGGATGGGTTGTATCATGGTGGTTTACAATTCTCTCGTAAAGCAGTCAGTCCGCTGCAGGGTTGGGCACGGAGCAGGGGGTGTGCGTGTGCCTGATAAATCGGTGGGCTCAAAATTCGAGCCGGGAGATCCAGCGGTAGGCACCTATCTGTTCGCCCCCCTGGCGGCACTCGAGGGAAGGCCGCGAGTATGCGCTCTGTAGATTGGACGTGTTCAGTCTGTTATCATTGGGATTGATAGATGCGTGATAGATAGCAGTCGGAGCTCCGCGCCCATTGTATGGAGTACATAAAGTAAACAAAGCCCAGGAATTCGCGCTGGCCTTCCTGGTGGCTGTTCCTTTCCCTCCCTCAGGTGTCTACGCAGGGAACCGTGACCCATCCGGTCCTACCAGACGACGACGCCTGTCCACCAGACCGTATACTAGTACGGATTACGGATCACGGATTAATATACGAGCAGCTTTTAGAACCCGGCCGTTTAGGCTATACGAACGTTCGTTTGGGACGAACTCGCCGATTTACTGGGCTTGGTCTGGTCTGGTCTGGTCTGGCCCGACGCCTCTGTTGACCATGATGATGGTTGTGAATGAACACGGTTGAGAAGTGGTGATGATGATGATGATGACGATGATGTTGCTGATGCCGCCTGCTCTGTTCAACCCGTTTGGTTACTAGTACTATCTACTGAGTACTAGTATCTACTAACCCATAGCCGAGAGAAACCACACTAGACCCAGCCGGGATGATTGAATATGACGGGGTTTTCGCCACCGACGCTTCGGGACTTGTGCAGAATCGGCGGCGGGCTTGGCCGAGAGCCGGCCTTTTCGCCACGGACCCAATGGGAAGAAGCCCTCAATGAATCGATGAAGACCAATCGTGACTGTTGTCATTGTGATCTCAATCGACTGGAGTGGAGGACGACTACTACTAATTCTCCAGCAGCAGCAGCCAACAATATCATTAGCCGGTGCTGCAGTAGCAGCACTGCAGCAGAAACCTTAGTTGCCCTGCTCCGCCGCCGCCGTTCGCCAGGAAACGCAACCAGTGGATTGATTGATGGGGGTTTGGTGAGTGGATGATCGTCGGGCCCGAGTTTATTTTATGCCATTTGATTTTTCACCTTATCTCTCGCCAGACTCGGCAGCCTTCCATTTGGGGGAATTTTTTTGATTTACTTTTCTTTTTTTTTGCTTTAAGCGCGCCTCCCTCGCGTGGAGGAGAGACATTGTTTTTTTTCCCCCTCTCCTGGATTCTTGGGATACGATAATCTGGACTACTATTATCATTTGGTTATCGGGTCCTCCCACGCGAGTCAATCGCCCATCTGGCATATCTACCTATCAACCAGACGCAAGCCATCACTAATAGATATTATCGACGGACAAGCAGCTCCACCCGCGCCCAACGTTTGAGCAAAGTTTAGGGGATCGCGAGTGAGACTGTAGTCCAGGGCCCTTTCCTGGGACGGCCAGTGGAACTGGAAGGGAACTTGACACGATCCGTTTATCGCAGCAAAAGTCCTGTCGAGTCCCACTCGGTGCCTTTCCAGAATCTTGTCGCTGCCCGGCCGCACCACTCGCCGGCCCTCCTCAAGTCAGCGCACTCTTATTTATATAGTCCACGCCCTCCGCCCCCCCCGTGGCGGTTTTCCTTTCTCCACACCCGGCGGAGTCTGCTGCTCTCTCTCTCCCAGTCACAGTCCGTCAGTCACGGCATTCCGTCTCGCATTCCCCGAGTGCCAGTATTCGCTCTCTCTTGACGCCTATTCGACTCCTGCTCAGCTTCCTCTCCCTCCCTCCCATCCACCCATCCATCCATCCTTCTCCCCCGCCCAGACAGACAGACAGGCAGACAGCCTCTTCCTTCTTCTCCCATCCCGTATTCGATCCGATCTCGCTCGTGCATTCCTCGCTGCCACTCACCACCTCTTCTTACTCTACCACCCGCCTGTTCTCGTCCCCGAGGACAACCCGGCGGTGGTGACCTCGAATTCTCCCCTCACGACAACGTCCGCCTGAACATCCCGACTTGTCAATTCTTCGTATTCACCTTCTTTGGAGAGTTTCGCACTATGGCGGACAAAGTAGGCGTCTATATCCCCCAATATGCGTCGTACAACTGGACTGGTGCCCCCTCCGACTACGAGGCACTCACGACCAATGAAATCGGTGGCAATTCCAGTTGGTTACCCTGCTTCCTCCTGGTCGTGATGGCTCTTTGACTCACCTGCTGGCTAGGAACGGAAAACTTGAACAAATGGTTTCAATCCGGTGATCAGGCGTACATCATCGTGGCCTCGGCCATGGTTATGGTTATGGTCCCCGGTCTGGCCTTCCTCTACTCGGGTCTCGCACGCCGTAAGTCGGCTTTGAGTATGATCTGGGCCTGTATGGCCTCATTCTCCGTCGTCACCTTCCAGTGGTACTTCTGGGGTTACTCTCTCGCCTTTTCGCCCACTGCAACCAACGGATACATTGGTAACCTGCGTAACTTCGGCTTGATGAAGACGTTGGCTGATCCCAGCCCTGGCTCGCCTCTCATTCCTAACCTTCTCTACGCCTTTTACCAGGTATGGTCACGTTAAACCATCCCGTTTCCTCAACCAATGACTGACTTTGGCTGGGATAGATGCAATTCTGTGGAGTAACAGCAGCGATTATCATGGGAGCTGTGGCGGAACGTGGACGCATGCTGCCGGCGATGGTATTCGTCTTCATCTGGGCCACGATAGTGTACTGTCCTCTAGCATGCTGGGCATGGAACGTGAACGGCTGGGCGTACAAATACGGTGTCTTGGATTACGCGGGTGGTGGCCCCGTCGAGATCGGCTCTGGTCTGTCAGCGCTCGCCTACTCGATGGTCCTGGGTCGTCGACAGGAGCGGATGATGCTGAATTTCCGTCCCCACAACGTCTCCCTCATTCTTTTGGGCACCGTGTTCCTTTGGTTCGGATGGCTGGGATTCAACGGTGGCTCGGCATTTGGAGCGAACCTTCGTGCCACCATGGCTTGCTGGAACTCTAACCTGACCGGTGCCTTTGCGGGCATTACCTGGGTTCTCCTCGATTGGCGGCTGGCTCGGAAGTGGTCCATGGTCGGTTGGTGCTCTGGAACCATCTCGGGCCTGGTCGCGGCCACCCCAGCATCTGGCTTCATCCCCCCGTGGGCGAGTGTGATCTTGGGCGTTGTGACCGGTATTGTTTGCAACTACTCCACCAAGGGTAAGTCACGCATGATTCTCTTCATCTCTAGGTCCCTGACTGACGGCTACAGTGAAATACTGGATCCGCATCGATGACTCAATGGATGTGTTCGCCGAACACGGTGTTGCCGGAATTGTTGGCCTGTTTTTCAACGCCCTCTTCGCTGACGACGCGATTGTCGGCCTGGACGGTGTCAACACCGGATCGAAGTCTGGAGGCTGGCTGATCCACAACTACAAGCAGCTCTACATTCAAATTGCCTACATTGTGGCCACCTGCGCCTATGCGTTCACCATGTCCGCCATCATCGCCTATGCCATCAACGCCATCCCCGGCCTGAAACTGCGTGCGTCAGAAGAAGCCGAGCTGCTGGGTATGGATGATGACCAGCTGGGAGAATTCGCGTACGACTATGTCGAAGTCCGTCGTGACTACCTTGCCTGGACCCCTCAGCAGCACAACCAGCTCGAAGACGGCCACCAGATCCCCGCCGCTGCGCGGTACGGAATCGGCGAGCACAGTGAGATGATGCTGGATGGCCACGCCCCGGTCGGCGTGGACAGCCGCGGCTGCAGCGAAGGCGACTCGGGCATCCAGGAGCTGAAGATGCAGCCTGCCCCCCGACAGGTGGCAGAACATCACGCGCCCCATGAGCCTGAGCCCATCGAGGAGCCTGTGCCTGCGACTCAGATCAACGAAAAGGTTACGACCTGAACCGGTATACATCTCTAAACTCTAATGTTTTGTGTCTTTATGTGATATCCAGCGTTGCCGTTCTGATTAGCCCGGCGGAGCCATTTCTTGTACATGTATTATTTTTGGCGGCGATTTGGGTTTGGCGTTTGTGGAACAAAACCCGCGGGTCATGTATACCTACCTGTTGGGTGGCTTGTATATATCAGGTTATCAGCGGGGAGTTTTATTTTACTTTCTAGATTTGATTCAGGATTGATACCAGCACCAGCATAGATTAGTCAATTGATGATTCTGATACAATCCAATACCAGTGGAGATCGCAGTTCCTAGAGGTCATTGTAAATAGTATGTAGAAACCCATCGACTCACAGTATCGTTCATGATCAGTGATCAGCACCCCAGGCACCAAAACAGCCCACCGAAACAGAAAACAGTGACAAGCCATGTACTCCACAGACTGGAGATGCCTGTCAGGTTCACGCAGCCTAAACATATCCGGCAGGTGAGCACGTGTCCAAGTACCCAGTTAGCCCCCCTTCCAATTCATGTATGATCCTTGAAGGATGTAGTAATTATTTTATGACTGGTCATTAGATAATTGAGGGTTTCTCTCTCTCTCTCTCTCTCTCTCTCTCTCTCTCTGTGTGTGTGTGTGTGTGTGTATTGGTTTTTGTTATCTTGGTACTGGAGAAAAGATGGGTTCGGAGAGATAAATTGTAGGGGTCGAACTCCCCGCTTCCGCGGGGGGGGGGAGGGCGCGATATACTAACCGTGAATAGATGGATGGATGTGCTTTATAGATTGGGGTGATTGAGTGGATAGATAGGTAGGTAGGTCGTACTTAGTTCTCTATGTAGGGCATATATATAAATCTCTCGTGATTTATCGTCCTATACGGTGCCACAGGTATGGAGACGTATGAATCATTAGGGAATCACGAAAGGCCATGAAATAATTATCGATACGAAGATAGCCAGCTTGTGTATATATACAGACAGTAGATGTGGCCTCGAGATGGGTTATCAAGAGTACTAGAAAGATGTTTGAAGGATGGGTTCGCTTAAGGCTGAGAATGGAAAGTGATAAGGAAGAAACAATCAGGTTAAATACGCCGCACCATTCCCCGTACTCTCATTCGCTCTTCGCGGCTCAGTTTATCGACTACCTCGGCGGTCTCGCCGCCGCGCAGGACATCTTCCCATTCGTCTTCGTCCATGCCCATTACGAGCACCATTTGCAGACACCGAGTGAAGACCTCGCGGTGGCGGTATCGGCCTGGCGCGGCTTGTGTGCCGCCCACATCCACGGCGGCGCTTACCACACCGGACACATCCCGTTCGAGACGAGTGGCGCCCAGCGCATTGACCCGGCCGTGATATGACCAGAGACGCTTCTCGAGGAGACGGGCCAGGTACGCCACGGTGACAGTAAGAAGGCGGTCGAATGCGGACGCGGTGAGGATGCGACACAGTGGAAGGAGCAGCTCGGTCCAGGCGGCGGCGAAGCGCGGCCGGACCAGCTCGGCTCGGCTGGTGGGGTCGTCGTCGTCGGGAACGCTGCCATCGGCGACGAAGTCCGGCTCATCCGAGTCGTAGTCGTGGTAGACAGTGCGGGTGGGGTCGGTGTCCTCACGCGGCTGGTACTCGATGTCTCGGAAGGCATCGGAGAGGATAGGGCGGAGACGGTGTTTGATGACGTTGTTGAAGACGACTTGAATGCCGTCCGTAAGGAGGTCGGTGACCTTGGACTCGAAAGAGGCAGAGAGCGACTGGAGGGTTTGGGTTGCGAGGCGGGCGTCCTCGGGGACGGGGAACAGGGAGCGGAGAGGGTCGGTGTCCTGGACTTGACCGTCGGGGCCAACCGATTTTTTGGTCTCCGTGTGATTCTGCAGGATGCGGCGAACGTAGTCGACTGCGACGTCGAGGTTGTTGATGAGGACGAGGAAGGAGAGGACAAGCTGCTCCTGGGGCTGGGTGCCTTGGACGGCGGCGCGGGGATAGCATTCGTCGCGCATTTTGCGCTGAGTCATGCCGATGAAATCGGAGCCGAGGACACGCGAGAGCGTGGGCACGACACTGGTGACGACGGAGATTTGCGACGTAGCGAGGGACTGCTGTAGGACTTTGTTGACAATGTACATGATGTCGTCGACGGCGGAGGTGATGTGCGGCGGCTCGGATTTGAGGGGTCGCTGCGGGTTCAGGGTCAGGCCCGAGGGCTGTTCATCCAGCTGGAATGCCTTCTCGACCGACCGGCGGAAGAAGAAGGTGGTCATGGTGTTGAAGGGGCCGGCCAGGCGGTCGTTGATCTTCTTCGACAGGGTCGAGTCCCGAAGGAACGGCGGAAGGGAGAACTTCTGGTTCTCGTCTCCGGGCGGCTGCATCTGGTCAGTTGGGAACATCGGATGTTTTCGACTGGGACTCACATTGCAGGTGTCTGCCAGAAACCGGCAATATAGTGACCAGCGACCAAGCATGACTGCCATCTCGTTGAGAAGCCCGTCGATCTCCTTCATATCCACGCCCTCCTCGTCGGCCGCAGCGGATGCATCCCGCACGGCAGGCGAGTTGGACCGTGGAGTTCCGCCGCGTTGGGGAGGAAGGAAGCTCTGCACGAGGAAAGTAAATGCATAGGACTTAGTGTCGGTCAGCTTGCGGTCCACATGCCTCTCGTCGCTCCAGGTGTCCAGGATGATACCGCCCTGGACATCTGCCTCGAGCTGTAGACGCTCGATGACCCGGTTCATCTTGCGCGGCCCATAGTGGCGCTCCACCAGGCCGCCGTGCCCATCGATGATCTGCGCAATATGCTCGAACAGCTTGGTCAGGGCATTGGCGTAGAAGAAGCCGTCCTTGTTCGGAGAAGCCCCGGTGCCGGCATTGAGATTCGATCGCGCTCGTGCAGCCACGCCCTGGCAGACATAGCGACCATAGACATCCAAGCCCACCTCAGAGCGGCCGATGAGGGGGAATAGCTTGAAGAAGCGTGTGATCCGAGCCCCGTTGTTCTCCTTGACAGCCTTGTCGAACTCGCGCAGGAACAAGCCACAGAGCGACTCGGCGGCGTTACCGAGAGTGATGTTCGGTGGGTCCGGAACCTCGGCTGTAGGGACCATTTCAGCTGCAAAGGCACCCTGCGCGACCTCCGGAGCGATCTTGGAAGCGCGGTTCAGGTAGCTGGCCGCCGTCTCCCAGTCCTGCGGTGCTCCCATGGAGCCTGCGACGCCCAGCACACAGGCCTTGAGTTCGGACACCTGCTCGACCACTTCCAATGTTGCCTTCACACGGGATTGTTCCAAATCGAGGCGACGGACGGCGCTGGAGATGCGGTCGGCGGTGGTTGCGGCGGCGGACAGCATGCCATGGCTGATGGTGCGGGTGGTGCTGGTCTGAGAACCGAGATGGGCACGGAGTAAGTCGAGACGACCGAGTTCTCGCGAGAAATCCTTCTGGGAGGCCACGAGGGCGTCCAGACGGGCGGTGACGGACGCTTCCTGGTCGTGCAGGTGCGACAAGGTGGCCTTGATTTCGGCGACGGAGCTGGCATTGTAGATGTCCGCGGGGGGCTGCGAGGGACGCTCCGGGGCCACGGCATGACCATTGGCCACGCCGACCGGGGAGTTAACCATTGTCCGCGTAGACCGACGGGCGAGTTGCAACTGTGGAGAGCGACAGGAAGAGATGAGAGGGAGAGATGAGATGAGATGAGATGAGATGAGATGAGATGAGATGAGATGAAATGGATGGATGGATGCCATCTGGCGTCGCGGCCCGGAGGCGGTGAGCTGCCGAGGGGCTGCAGCGGTCGGTCAGTCTGGTCAATTTCTCCCCGATGGCTTTTCTCAGACCCATGGGAATCAGCAGGGTTGGCGGAATTCCGATATCCCGGAGACGTGCCTATTCTCTCCCTTTTTTTTTTTTTTTTTTACCTACTTTTCTAGGGCTTGGATCTCCAACCCAAGGAACCGCCATGGCGGGTAGTCCGCAGTGGATTGATTCCTCAGGCAGCGATCAGGTGGAGGAATTCTGCCGGAGTGCCATTCGACGTCATCTTCAGCTTCCAGTCGGGCTTTTCCCCTCACTGCCTCAATCCCCCCCACCAGCTCGACTACCGCTAGAACGACTGCTCCTGGACAGCGTCTCACTGACTACTGGGAATTGACCTCACCTCGCCATCATTGGCCGCCGTCACAGACCCCGACACCAGCAAGCCCGGCCCAGATCTGGTCGCCGGCCGCGCACCATGGGCAACGAACCATCAACCATGGTGGACGAGCATACGCCGCCTACCGTGCTGGAGGCGCGTACGATCGAGGCTGTGGCCAAGTATATTGAGCAAAGATCGGTGCAGCGCGTAGTGGTGATGGTATGCCACCCCTTCCCCCGCATTGCGCCTTGCATGTATTAAAGAAAACGTGAAAAACCCACTAACGTGGCAATGGTCGTTCACCATCACAGGTAGGAGCTGGCATCAGTACCTCCGCTGGAATCCCCGATTTTCGCTCTCCAGACACGGGAATCTACTCTAACCTCGAGTGTCTGGACCTGCCGGAGCCTGAAGCGGTCTTCGACATTGATTTCTTCCGCGAAAATCCCCGGCCCTTCTACGCCTTGGCCCGGGAACTGGCCCCGGGCAAATATCGACCCACCATCGCACATTCGTTTATCAAACTACTCTACGATAAGGGTCTGTTGATGAAGCACTTCTCGCAGAACATTGACTGTCTGGAGCGCCTGGCCGGGGTGCCGGGCGACATGATTGTCGAGGCGCACGGCAGCTTTGCGACGCAGCATTGCATCGATTGCAAAGTCGAATATCCCGACGACCTGATGAAAGAAGCTATTGCTAAGGGGGAGGTACCGTACTGCGCCCAGTGCAAAGGACTGGTGAAGCCGGACATTGTTTTCTTCGGGGAGGCGCTGCCGGCCAACTTCTTCGACAACCGGGAGCTCCCCGAACAGGCCGACCTCTGCATCATCATGGGAACCAGTCTAACCGTGCAACCGTTCGCTAGTCTGCCTGTGTTCTGTCGTGAAGGAGTCCCACGAGTGTTGATTAACATGGAACGAGTAGGTGGGCTGGGGTCCCGACCGGACGATGTGCTGGTCCTGGGAGACTGCGACACCGGGGTGAGGAAACTTGCGCGGGCGCTGGGCTGGGAGGAGGAGCTGGAGGAGCTGTGGGAGACGACGAAACCGGATAAAGGAGCACAAGAGGCGGAGAATGCACCCCTCCAGACGAGGGAGGAGCGGCTCCAGGACGAGGTGGATCGCCTGACCGAGGAGGTGGATCGCACGCTGGGAATCTCCAATGCGTACCAGCAGCGGGTGCGGCAGCATCTGGAGCGCCAGTCCAGCAAGAACACGGATGCTGCGGATGATACGAAGCGGGACGAGGAGACGGACCGCATCGGGGGCCTCGCACATGTCTTCCCGCATCTGGCGCGGGTCAAGGAAGGGAAGAGAGGATAATCGAGAGATCACATGGACGGGCAGGCATGGAAGGCCCGGGCGAGATGGCGTTGGGTGGCTGGTTCGAGTGCTTCTGACTGGATGCAGCCAGGGGAGCTGGACTGGTCGGGCAGCCGGTTCCTGGGGCTCCTCGGAGCTTCGCCACGGATGGGAGATCGGGGAGGATGATAATTTGGATATATACTGGGACGGAGTATAGGGTGATGATACACACGATAGCTGTGATGAGTCTACTACTAGGGAGTCGTACGGAGTTACTGCGAGGAAATGGACGGGGTTGGGACAAAGCCGCCCAGCATTCCTGCACGATTAGCCCTTGAACTGCAACCGACAGTCCCATGTCATATCGTGACAGCTCAGTGCCCCGAGCCAATAAAGGAGGGGGATCTGGGGAAGAGTAGAAGAGTAGAAATAGAGTCGGAGGGCGGCGATCCGAGCAGGTCCCAAAGCAACGGCCGGTGAGTGCCAGTCTGGTCCCTCGTCGCCCTCCACTGCGGGGCATTATTATTAGTAGTATTACTATTACACAGTACCTAGTAGTATTGTTCCCACGCGCCTTCCACTTCCTGGTCTGCCTGAGACTGTTTCTGCCCCACGTCATTTTCTCCCGTCGAACTTTCCTCCCCTCTTTCTCCGGCTTCTCTGCTTCTCTTCTTCTCTTCTTCTCTTCTTCTTCCCCCTCTCTTCTTCTCCATCTACCTGACTTTCTCTCCTTTCCTTCTTCCCCAATACCCCCCTCTTTCTCTCCATCGAATTCTTCATCCCCTCCCACCCCCGCATCTCGTCACCATGGTCGGACTCGGTCCCAAGCGCCCCCACTCCCGCAAGGGTACTTTCTTCTACTGCTGCTCCCTTTCTCTGCCTCGGGATGCCGATCACTAACCCAATGGCTCGCCCCCCCCCCCCAGGTTCCATGGCCGATGTTCCCCAGAACCTCCTCCAGCAGATCAAGGACTTCGAGGAGCATTTCACTGTCGATCGCTCTACGCTCAAGAAGATCGTCGACCACTTCATCAAGGAGCTGGAAAAGGGTATGTGCCCCGCCATCCCGGCCCCTGATTCGGCCCGTGAAGCCTTCCCCGACTAACCCGGTCCCCTCGTCGCATCAGGTCTCAGTGTCGAAGGTGGTAACATCGTAAGTGTCCCGGCTCGATCGATGGTTCCACCTCACCTACGAATCGACTGACAATGTCTCTCCCAGCCCATGAACGTCACCTGGGTCCTCGGATTCCCCGATGGCGACGAGCAAGGAACCTTCCTCGCCCTCGACATGGGTGGCACCAACCTGCGTGTCTGTGAGATCACCTTGACCCAGGAGAAGGGCGCCTTCGACATCACTCAGTCCAAGTACCGCATGCCCGAGGAATTGAAGACCGGCACCGCCGAGGAGCTCTGGGAATACATTGCCGACTGCCTGCAGCAGTTCATCGAGTCCCACCACGAGAACGAGAAGGTCTCCAAACTGCCCCTGGGTTTCACCTTCTCTTACCCCGCCACCCAGGACTACATCGACCACGGTGTCCTGCAGCGCTGGACCAAGGGCTTCGACATTGATGGTGTTGAGGGCCAGGACGTCGTTCCCCCCTTGGAGACGATCCTGCAGAAGCGTGTAGGTGTCTTCTGATGCTCGAATGGAACATGTCCAGGCTGACCTCTCGACTATAGGGCCTGCCCATCAAGGTAGCTGCGCTGATCAATGACACCACCGGAACCCTTATCGCCTCCTCCTACACCGACTCCGACATGAAGATTGGCTGCATTTTCGGCACCGGTGTCAACGCCGCCTACATGGAGAACGTCGGTTCCGTCCCCAAGCTGGCCCACATGAACCTGCCCCCCGACATGCCCGTGGCTATCAACTGCGAGTACGGTGCGTTCGACAACGAGCACATCGTGCTTCCCCTCACCAAGTATGACCACATCATCGACCGCGACTCGCCCCGTCCCGGCCAGCAGGCCTTCGAGAAGATGACCGCAGGTCTGTACCTGGGTGAGATCTTCCGTTTGGCTCTGGTGGATTTGGTGGAGAACCGCCCCGGCCTCATCTTCAACGGCCAGGACACCACTAAGCTGCGCAAGCCCTACATCCTGGATGCCTCCTTCCTGGCGGCCATTGAGGAGGACCCCTACGAGAACCTGGAGGAGACCGAGGAGCTCCTCGAGCGTGAGCTGAACATCAAGGCCACGCCCGCCGAGTTGGAGATGATCCGCCGCTTGGCCGAGTTGATCGGCACGCGTGCTGCTCGCCTGTCGGCCTGCGGTGTCGCCGCTATCTGCAAGAAGAAGGGCATCGAGTCGTGCCACGTTGGTGCGGACGGATCCGTCTTCACCAAGTACCCGCACTTCAAGGCGCGCGGTGCGCGGGCTCTGCGGGAGATCCTTGACTGGGCTCCCGAGGAGAAGGACAAGGTGACCATCCTGGCTGCTGAGGATGGATCCGGTGTGGGCGCCGCCCTCATTGCGGCGCTGACCCTGAAGCGGGTCAAGGCGGGTAACCTGGCTGGTATCCGCAACATGGCCGAAATGAAGACGCTGCTATAATGATCTGACTGGCGCATGATTTTGGAATTGGTTGGTGTTGTGACGCGGGGATCTGGGCGGAATGAAAATATACAGTTACACGAGGCATGGAGCTTTCAGTTAATACGAAGGGTTTTGATACACAGATGATCGCCGATCATTCGAGATTTAAGAGTGGGCGACTGGATTTGTAACTCCGGTGCTCGTGACTGGTCTCTGCATGACGGTCTGGTATAAACAGCATCCCTGCCGCAAGCAAACGGGTTGCCCGAGTGGTTTGCGGGGAGACGAGGGAGAATGCCCTGGCGACATTCCCGGTTGCCGAGCGAGGAATGCCCAAGCATCGTAGAGACCCGATGACCCTCTCGCGTAGATTCTCACAGGCCCGCCCAGTTGTCAACAAACAGCCTGGCCTAACAACCGATTGCTATTGGGCCGGAATGTCTGCCATCGTCAACATGACCGGCTGCATCCATGGTACCTGGTGCCTGGCAGAAGTAGTAGGACATAAATACATGCCTTCAGCGAGCCCTATCCGCAAGCTCGCCTTCTCTCTTCCTCCCCCATTGTTCCTATCCCAAACATCATCCACTCTTGCACTCATTGATTCCATTGATAAATCACCACATCACTTACTACAATCAAGTCACAATGAAGCTTTCACTTACCCTTCTCGCCGCCGCCCTCACGGCCACCACGGCCCTCGCCGCCGCCGTCCATAACGACCGTCCCCTCATCAAGAAGGATGTCGCTGCCGCTGCCCCCTCCGGCACCGCCAGCGCCGTTGCTCTGGCCAGTCCCTCTGTGGCCGCGGCCGCGCAGTACGGGACGGCGCAGGTAGCGGATGGGACAGACGATGATGACAAGGGCAAGGACGATGGTGAGGACGATGGAGAGGACGAGGGGGCCGATGATGGTGAGAAGGGGGATCAAGATGCCGATAAAGATGGCGTATGTTGTCCTTCTCATCAATTCCCACCTTTCCCCTATCAAGTACTAGGGGTGATTGCTAACCGTGCGTATTATGGGTATAGGCTGCCAGCTCGCTTGATTTTGTAAGATCTCCCCTCCTTCCGGATTAAGATGGATTGGGGTTGGGGTTACTATATGTCTCTATGGGACAGATAAGCCGGATATATATGAGGAGAGATGTTTGTTTCGTTTCGAAGGAGAATTTACTAACATCTTTTGTTTTGGATGCATAGCTATCGGGAATTCTAGGCTTGGTAAGTTCAATTCCTTTCTTCTCTTTCCCTCTATGTATAGGGGGCGTGTTTGAAATGAATGATGGATGGCTAACCAGTAAATGTGTGGTAGTTGGGTTCTTTGGTGAGTTAACTAGTCCTCTACATCTCTCTCTGTCTCTTTCTCTCTTTGGCTCTCTTTTTCTTGTCTTGTGCTTGTACTCTGTCAAAGTACTGGACAGGAAAGGAAAGGAAAGGAAAGGAAATGAAAGAAAAGAAAAGAAAAGGAAAGACATAGAGAGAGATATAGATTGTTTGTATCTACAGGAGCAAAGCAACGTACTAACCCCTGATCTTGCGATAATAGGGTCTGCGACAGGGCGGTGTCCCGGGTCAGCAGTAGACAGTCATCTCTCTATCTGCCTACCCAACCATCTTTCTCCATTCATGTCATGAGGGGTGTGGTCGCTCTTGTTGGTGGTGCTTGATGAATTCTTTTTGACTTTCTTGTGCCTGATTTGTTTATTATATTTCCGAGGTGCTCAGGGCCTGTTTTTCCTCCTTTTAATACTCTATTCCGTTGCCTAGTTGTTTCGGGTGTCGATTCTGTCTGTCTACATACCTACCTACCATACAGTACAGTACAACCATTGGTCGTTGGTTGGTGTGGTCGATTCTACAGTATTAGTAGTGATCATGCCTTGATCAGGAATGTGAACTTTTAGATATATATGTATGTATGTATGTATGCAGGTCTATCGATTCCCTCCCAAGTCTCCATCACCCCCGGATCTCCCACAGTCGGATCCGTCCCTGTTCATTGCCAACCGCCAAGTGCTCCGAGTTGGGCGAGATGGCCACGGAAGATATGCGGCCCAGGGGCGTGTTGGAGGTCGGCCAGTTGCGGTAGACGGTGCAGGTTGGGAGGTGAACTGTATTATATATACCCCATTAGTTCGGTGTGCTTTATAGATGTGATATAGGGCTTGCTGGAAAGGGACGACTTACCCATTCTCAATGCATCGCGCTTCCACCGACTCGCCATCACGAAGAACTGTCCGTCCGGCGCAAACACGACATGGCTGATGGGCGTGGTGAGCTGGTCCAGGGCCCGGACCGGCTCCGGGTTGCGGGGGATCGCCTGGTTGGGGTCCGCGGCGTAGGCTGCTGCCCACTCGCGCCGGTCGTATACGTTGACCACACCGCTGGAACTGCCAATGGCTACCCAGCGGTCTCCGCCCAGTTGGGTCCGGCCGGATCGGCCACCCAGACTCAGCACCGTCGTGCCAACTGCACCGGCGTCCATCCAGCGAGCCACCACCCGGTTCAGGCGGCCGTCCCATTCCGAGACCTCACCGTTCTTGCTGGCCACCGTCATACCTTCGCCGTCGCTCCACCAGGCGAAATCGGCGACACCGCCGCGGCCGTCCACCCGCACCTGGGCGATCCACTGCGCCGTGCCGGAGTCCAGGACATTGATCAGACCACCGCCCTTGCGGGAGGAGCCGACCAGACCGACGTAGCGGCCGCAGGGCGACAGCTTGAAGCGCTCCATGGACTTCTGCTCCTCCTTGCGGTCTGCCGTGCCGTTAACCTTGTCCACCTTGCCGGTCTCCAGATCCCAGATGTGGAAGTAGCGCCGACGACCGGACGCGAAGATCCGACTGCCTGTGGGGAGGTGGAACGCCGAGCTGTGGATGGGGGTGTTGCGAATGTGGAAAGAGGTGAGAAGAGGGTTAGGAGCCGGAGAGGAGGGGGAGATGTGGTGGAGGAAGAGCGTGGCTGCAGGTCCGGAGGAGAGCAGCAGCGGGTAATGAGGGTGGAACATGAGCGAATCGACCGATGACTGTCGAGTGCCTTATTAGCTCTGTAGCACATGCGCGCGAAAGCCAATGACTTACCGGCTGGTCTTTGCCGACATCCTTGAGGCGCTGGATATCTACAACCTCCTGGCGCAGCTTTCTGCGGCTGCCGGGCGCCGTCTTGTCCTCCAGCTTGACGAGGTCAGTAGCGCTTTGGAGCAGCTTAGCCAGTGGTTGCGTGGACGAGGACTCCTCATCGTCAGTATCCATGTTCTCTGCGTTGGAATCGTTCTTCTGCTGGTTCTTCTCCACGTCCGCCCAATCCGGCGTCGGGTTCAACTGGACAAACTGTCTGCGAAGTCTGCGAATGTACTCCTTACCACTGATTACATCCTCCGACTCAGCAACGCGCAGCTTCCGCAGCCTCTGATGGCTTGCCAACGAGATCGAAATGCGCTCGTCGTCGCTATCATGCCACAGCGCAGGCATACCAACCTCCTCGTCGCTTCCCTCGCCATCTGACGGCATCGCTGGCGCCTCAGTAAGCTCCGTAGAGACTGGCCCGGCGCCAGAATCAAGGAAGAAAAGCTACATCACATCCCACATAAATTAGCAACGACCCCGCAGAACATCACTCAAACGAAGCGGATCACAAACATCAGCGTCGTCCAGTTCGGCCAAGTCGCGCTCTTCATCCTCATTTTCATCGCCATCCTCCGCGGACTCCTCGTCACTGTTATCCGCCAGCGCCAGACTGCGCTCATTCTGGTTTTTCAGTGCGCCAAGAAAACCCTCGTCGTCGCCAAAGAGCATCGCCTCGAGCTTCCTCTCAGCATCGTCCTTCTCGGGAACGTCCGACTCATCGGAGCTGGTTTCATCGTCCATCTCGATGTCGTCATTCCGAATGGGCTGGCCTGGTTCGAAGGGCGAGCGCGCGGCCGTTTTGACCGTCTGGCGGGTCTTTTGCTTGACGCCGGCTTTGGGCATTGTGAATGTGATTCTTCCCTGAGTGACTGCAATTGGGAGATATCTGTTGCTGAGATCCAATGAGTGTGTCAGATAAGGGTAAGAAAGAAATGCAACCCAGCCAGTTGTCTCCTTAGGCAATGGATGTCGCAGAAGCGACGAAGCCGCCGACAATAATTTTCTTCGTCGGCCGGCAGATGTGGGCGGTGAGGGGTGCGGTGGGTGCGGTGGGCGCCGTGCCGCTGGTGCCTACGAATTCAGGCAGAACTATGTCTTCCATTACATGTATATTTTGTCTCGGGGAGCAATCTCGAGTAAGGCAGGCAAATTAAGGAGAATAGCAAATCAGAACATCTAGACTCATGTACACGCCTTCCCTACTGACCCGGAGATGTATAATAAGCCCAACTGCCATCAAGTAAACGAACAACCGTGAAATCACCAAACGCCACCTCATGAAGTACGTGAGTGGAGAGCGTCATGTCAGCTGTCCCGGGATGTAAGCTTGGTGGATGATGATAGCTGACCATATTCGCCATGGCTGCTGCCCGACCTGGCTGATGCCGACGCAGATGAGGCAGAGCTGTGTTCACCGTGAGTCGCCGGGCTGTATTCGGCAGACTCAAACCGGACAAGGTCTTCTTTTCCCTGAGCCGGGTTGTCTAAGCCCGGCTCGTGATCCTTTCCTACAGAGTCATCATCCGACTCCAACGACCCATCGTCCAGGCCCGCCAATAGCGCATGGCGATGCTCATGGCTGTAGCCCTCACCTTCCGGCTCAGACTCGAGGGTATCCTGCGATAACGGCTTCTTGATGAAGGTGTCAATAATGTAATATTGAATCGCATTCATAATAATGGGGAAGAGCAGCATCACGAAGATAATCTGCACAGCCGTGTTGCCCTCCGTCCATCGGAGAGCCCAATCTCCCACCTTGACGATGAACGGTAGCAGCTGAATGAGGAAGAAGACGCAGATCTTCATCCCCAGCAGCCCCATGAAGTAAATTATCGACTGTTTAAACCACCACGAGGCGCGAGGTGGACGACCATAGTTCCCGGACTCGATAGACTCCGGGGGATCTGCCAGTGGTGTATACGAGGCTAGGCGGTTGAGGACGTGAAGAATGAATATAAGGATCGGAATACCCAGCGTAGTCTGTTGACGAAGTTTCTGTTAGCATTCAAACCCCGGCATAATGGATTGTGACATCAAGACAGGCGATCATCAAGCTTACATCAATTCCCAGGTTCAAAATGTAGAACGAACATGGGTTCGGTTTGTATTTGCTCCGGATCTCCAGCTGTCCTGCAGAAAACATGGACATGAGTAGATTCGCCAGGTGTAGCATAGCGGACCCGAAGACTTGTTTAGAGACGTCAAACGCCCACACCTTCAATGGTCGCTGGGGTCTTTCTCTCCATCGCTTGTAGACTAATGAAAGAAGCGCCAATGCCCCGAGCGCAGCCTGGACGAGAAGCGAAAAAGGGCCTAGAAGCCTGCATTCCCCGGTGTCCTCTCCATCCCCAGTTTCCGGACCGGCCAAATAGAAAGGAACCGTTTGCATAGTCGGTGATGGGGAAGGAGTTGCAAAGGTGCTGGAAGCAGAGGTCAGACTGCTAGCCGCCGACGCACCGACGCCGCTACTGAGGGCTGCGATGGCCGTCGTTGTGATCAGCCCGGCGAGCGATGTGAAGGCCATAGCGTCGGTGAGGCTCGGTCTGTAGTATAGATGGGAGTAAAGGCAAGGGGGATAGAGAGATTAGACAGAGATTGATTAGTTGCGAGGAGCTTTGACGACGAAGCTGCTGGTGGCGTTAAATGATAATGATGGAGGGGAGTCCAGTGACCTGCGGACATGCAAGACGGCGGCGTGCCTATCTTGCTCGGGAAGTCCGTGTCACGGGCATATGGGACAGAGCCCGGAACAGGATTCCTAGACCGTTGCAAATTCAACCGGCACGGGGGCGCATGAATGGCGAGAATACGGGAGTAGAGGCTAGATAGTATAACGAAGAAGGCTCCTCCTTTACGAGCGAGGCATCGACATAGAAACGAGAAAATAAGCGGGTTTCATGGGACGCTTTGGAATGGGGCGGAGAGGCGGCATGAGGTCAGGGCTGGACACGACGAGACACCGCCCCCGCAGTTGGTCCTCACTAGCGCCAGCCAAGCTCCTCCTCGGGGAGTCGGGCGGTCCTGCGCTTTATTGCGCCGAGACACACCCTGACCCTGATCGACGGAACCACTCCGTGAGACTCTTTCCACGTGTATTTCCAAGACTACGAGGAATTTGCTGGCCTACAGGAATAATTTCCCTTCCAGTCGCCTGAAATAAGGCAACTCAGGCTCACAATGACAAGAGACCTGGGAGATTTTGTCATGAAGACTTTTATTTTCTGCACTAACATACAAGAGTCCAACAGGCGCCAATCGAGTATCCGGGATCAATTACACCATCCAGCTATATTGGATAATGCTCGTTTCCTAATGCGAAACCACAATCCGTCATGACCTGTCATGGTCCGTCAAAGCCTAGAGCGACCCTGTCGTTCTTCCCCGGCAACGAGAGGAAACATAATCCTTCCTTAACGGAGTCCCATAGTCGGGTCAATCCTTAGATCATCAGTCTCTCGACCTTGTCCTTGATGGTACGGATCTGGCCCATGAGGTCACTGGCCTCGTTGCTGGTAATGCTGGCCGCAATCACGGGGCGAGAGACACCGGTAGCACGGCCAAGAGCAAGCTTGCTGGGCACGAAGACGTAGGGGATGTTCTTGTCCTCAGCGAGGAGAGGGATGTGGAGGAGGATGGCAAGGGGAGAGGTGTCCGCAGCGAGGATGACCAGCTCGGAGGTACCGCGGTTAAGGGTCTTGGTGGCTACGAGGACAGTTAGCAGGCAGACGGACAGTGGACATCCTTGATGAAACACATACCCTCGTTGGCGCCCTTCTTCAGCTGGCGGTAGTGAGAAGCCTGCTGCACGAGGTCGAGCAGGTTCTGGGTAAGGGCCTCGTCGGCGAGGGGCCAGGCTACAAAATCCATCAGTATGTTGCGATAGAAGCGAGAATTGCGAGGTACATACCAGCAGAGGTCTCAGACATATTTGAAATGTAGGGGTGAGATGTGTAGCAGTCAAAAAGAGGCTCACGCAAAGGATCACTGCCGTTTTGCAGATCTAAAGGTTGGAGAGGGAAAAGTGGTGGTTGTAGAATCGCATCTGGTCTGCCGCGAAAAGAAAATCTTTAGAAAGAGCCAGTGGTGGGTGGGGCTGAGTCATGGCTTGCCGCTCTGTGATTGGCCCGCGCCGGGGCATACTTTACTGCCTGAAAAGCCAGGTTGAAGTTGTGGCAGCCTTAGCCGTCAGGCATCGAATTTGGCCAGGCTGGCTCCAGCCTGCCGTGTGTCATCGAAGATCAACCGAAGGTGGATCGATCCCCAGATCGTGGTCGGAGCAGCATTTGGCTGTTCTGGCACCTGTAAAATAAGGTGGTACACCCTACTGCTACGGGTCCGTACATTCGGTTTTTGTAGAGGAAGTGTTCGAATTTATCTACACATCTCAAATTCCCTTGAGTATCTACAGGGCGTCACAGGTGATCCTTAGCGCATGCAAGTTAACTATCCAGGACTCTCCGTCGGTTCCTGACATTCCAAGCATGTTACCAGGATGCTGCACCTGCGCTACCGTAACGATGTCATTGGCGCCTGGTTCTCGCGGCTAACGACTCGGGAGTGGATACCATCGCAGCGAAGCTCAGGAAACAATATTAACTACCGCCCTAGTTGCCTAGTCTTACGCAGGTTTTCCCGGGGGGTCACTTTGCTAGTCGATGCATGATCTTCAGACGTGCGATCCACCGCCCATGCAACTGACGGCCGTTGGACGATCGTCGACCCCCAGCCCACTCTTACGACTGACGTGGTCTCTGCAGTGGCCAGGACACAGACCCATAGCTGGGGCATTTAGAAGGTACACAGTAGAACATACGGCTAGATCAATTCGTATCTCATAGGTGTGCCGCAGCAGCCGAAGGCGGTCGGCGATCGAAATGATTATATTGGTAACTGTGAACCGGTGCAACAGCGTTGACCCGGCTTGAAATATCCATTCTGTATCATTCCCCTGAACAAAAGCCAGGGTGTCATTCAACCCGCCGGCAACCCTTTCATACCCATGAATGAATCAGAGCCATCAAACCCATAGGAGGAAAACGCCAGAAACCCCACGACCAACCCAGGATAATACGCAGCCAGATGCCGACAAAGGGCATGCAGAGAAAGCGAACAAAAGCAATCATCACGTCATTCTATACCATGTTGCTGTTTGAGACGCTCCAAATTCTCTTGCCTTTCCGCCAGGTCCTCTTTCGACCTAAGCATTTTCTCGGGCTGGTGATATAGAACTGAAGAGCAACAACCATGTCAGCGAATCCGCCCGTCTGCAGGCTCGGCTTCGCTTCCGGCCACGGAGCCAAGTACGTACCAACGAGGTATCTGTTTTGGAAGTTGAATCCATTGAGCTTATCGCATGCCTGTTTGGCGTCGTGAACGTCTTCGTAGACAACAAAGGCCGTGCCTTTCGAGTTGTTCGCAATTCCCTGACGTATTTGGCTGCAGAGACAGAGGACAGTTAGGTTTTGGACCAACCAGCAGACGGGATGGTAGTCATGCGCATGCTTACCGGATGGGACCAAATTTGCCGAAGAGGTCAAAGAGTTGCTCAGCGGTGACGTTGTAGCTGTACGAAAACCAGTAGATTAGCTTCCTATCTTAAAGAGGGCAGCGACTGTCGTCTGAGGGCTGTCGGTCGAGAGGTATGCGATGGTTGGCGTGTGAGCGAAGTGGGAATTTAGAGTCATGGACATACTTGAGGTTCTTTACAAAGAGAATCCTGGGACCGGTCAGCATCTGCACGTCATGGATAAGCCTCCTCGGCCCCGCAGGTCTACCATCCGCCAACATGCCGGGCAAAGATCCGGGGTCGAATGATGGCGGGTGACCGAAGAGGGGCAGGGCAGAGATTCGTCGAGCAGAACTTACCGATTGGCTTCGGGGGCGAGCTTCCGGCTCATTCTCGGGTGGGACAGTATAGGTCCTAAAAATGGAGTCAAGTGAGGTTGAAGTTAAATCAGATACCCAAAGGGCCTGGAGTGGAAGGAGGAATGAGAGGGAAGAGCAAGGAAGAGGAGGAGGGAGAGGGAAGCAATATCCGCGACGAGCACGAGGTTCGGAAGGGAGACTGCCTTGCCTGATTGGGGCTAGCGGCTCGGAGGAGCCTCACTTTTTGTTGGTTCGAGAAGACCGTCCAAACCGTCCGAGGCATTGCGGCTGACGGACGGGGTCGGGGGGCAATCGGACGGAGGTGGGATGGTCTGTAGATGTAAGCCCAGTCAGGGGAGAGATCATAGATGCGCCCCTGGAGTCCATGTCTTCAATTTGCGGGGGGGGATGGTAATATTAGGATCTATAGGAGGCCTCCCCGGGATTGCTCGCCGCAAACGATAGGATAGGATAGGACAGGACAATAATCCAGTCCAACGGACGGCAGGCCTGAGGCACACGGGCGGCGCCCGCGCTTTGCCCTTCTTCCTTCGACCGGCCGACGACGAGCCTCGCGCCTCGTCTTTCCCTCCCCCGTCTCCTCGATCAATTTGCTGGCGCAGCCCGTCAATCGCTCGACCTCCAGTATTCTTCGAGTCATCCTGTCGCTCCCTGCTTGATCCCGACCAGGCCTCTCTCTCCTGCCCGCACCCGCCGCGGTGCAATCCTCGGGGCTCTCTCTTCCCGCCGCTCTCGATTGACTACCAGTCGGCAGAGACTCAACTTCCCCCCCTCAACCTCTCCGCCGTGCGACTCTCCTCCGTCACCCTTCCCTTCCACCCCATCCCCTCGATTTTCCCTCCGATCTACTTTCCATCTCATTGTTCACCGTGCGCCCTTCATTCTGCCAGGAATGACTCTCTTTTTGCCTGCGGTGGCCCTACTCTAGCCGTGTGGTCGAACATCCCCGCTTTGCAGCCGTCTGCCGCAAGCACGCCTGTCTCCTCCTCCGGGCCCTTTCTCTCCCCTCTTTCTCTTTTATCTCATCGCCAGACCACAGGATGATTACTGCTACATCTTTTTTAAATCACCTCGGCAGCCGACCGCCGCGGTATCGCACTCCCTCGCCGCCGCGACGCGCCGTCGAGCCTATCTCGCCTTGTTCGACCTCCGACCTCCGTGCCTCATGGGTCGACTGCAACGTCTTCAGAGTTGCCGCCTCCGATCGCGACCACTTCTTACCAAACAATGCCGGATACCACCATGATGATGGGACAGCGGCTCATCGGTCGAGCCATGGCCGCTCCGGTTCCACCATCGACGCCCTCGCGACGATCGCTTTAGCGACGAGTCCGACTTTCGCACCTCTCTCCTACAGACCTCCTTCACAAAACTCCACCCCCGCCATGTCGCTATTCCCACCCGAGCCCATAGACTCCGCAGAACGTCCGACAAAGCGCCCACGGTCGGAAAAAGATCAGTCGCCGTTCCTCCAGCACCGGACAGTGGCAGTCTCAGATGCAAATTCTGCTTCGCTGTTTGACAGCATGAAGACGGATGCAGAGCTTTTGCTGAACCTTGCGCGACCCACAAATTTCCATCCCCCTGCTTCTGCTGCAAAGCGTGTCAGCATCGACGAGTCATTTTATCATTATGGGGATGAACAAAAGCGGAATTCCATGGCGGACTCGGGAGGTTCGAGCTGGAGGGTCAACGACGAAAAATACACATACACTACATCCGGGAATCCCAACCTGCCGCCGTCTCGGCTGAGGTCACAGTCCGATGGATCGGCCGCAATCTCACGCCCAGTGATCCAAGGCGTGCGGCCTAATACGAGCTCCTCCACTCTTCCACCAATCCTCTGGCAGGAGGAAGGGGACGCCGGAGACGACCATTGGGTCTTGACGACCAAAAGTGCCGTGAACGGTATGCCGTCCGGTGCACGAAGCTCAATACACGCCACCGATATTACGCAAATGCCGACAGACCAACCCTCCAAGGTCGAGGACGACACGGAATTTGAGGATTCCAGCCAGGCTAGTTGTGCAGCTTGCAATCTCGTCCGAATCCCGATAGACACTGGCGAACAAGGCGATGTGACATGGATCAGTTGCGATGGTTGTAAGCGGTGGTTTCACATCGTTTGTGCCGGGTTTAAAAATGACCGCGAGATTCGGACGGTCGACAAGTTTATCTGCCGAGGATGTCGGCTAGTCCACGGACACACTACATTTGTTCGCAAATCTTCTCGAGCTCGCACCGCTATTGATTATGCTGGCCTCAACCAAGGGCTCGTGAAGGCCGCTACGGATTCCTTGGAACATCACTACATCGAACCCATTCGACAGGGAAAAATCCAATTTCTCCCTGAACGGTTCCCTCGGATGCGTCCCGAGCTGGTCACCGCTGAATATTTCGAGCGAGGCAACGGCATGACGGAACCGATTGTTATCCCCGCGGAATGGAACACTCGTGAGTCCGTCTGGCTCAACGATTCTAAGCTCGATGCTTTGGCCCAGGAAGCGCCTACGCAAGAGATGTTTGATGAGTTTCTTGAGCACCTCGTCGAAGAGGAAAAGGACCATGAATCGGTGGTGGATTGCGGTCAGGACCAGTTAGACATGGTGATCCCTCAAGGCCTCACCGTTCGAAGAGTTGCGGAGCTTTATGGTCCGGAAGAGAGGGTGGAGGTCATTGACGTGAAATCACAACAGGGAGAAGACAAGAGATGGACCATGCAGAAGTGGGCAGACTATTACGAGAGCACTGGCGACAAGGTTGTCCGAAACGTCATTAGTTTGGAGGTGTCGCAGAGTCCATTGGGTAGGTTGATCCGCCGACCAAAGGTTGTCCGTGACCTTGATCTCCAGGACTCCGTCTGGCCTGATGAACTCAAGGCTGTTGGTGACTACCCGAAAGTTCAGTTCTACTGTTTGATGTCTGTCGCCGACTGCTATACCGATTTCCATATCGACTTTGGAGGGTCATCAGTGTATTACCATATCCTGAAAGGCAAAAAGACCTTCTTTTTCATCCCGCCCAAGGATAAACACTTGAAGAAGTATGAAGAGTGGTGCAACTCCCCCGCTCAGGATTCCACCTTTCTCGGCGACCAAACCAAAGAATGCTACCGCGTGGATCTTTCTGAAGGCGATACGATGTTAATCCCATCGGGCTGGATCCACGCCGTCTGGACCCCTGAAAACAGTCTTGTCATCGGCGGCAACTTCCTAACGAGGCTCAATTATGGGATGCAGATCAAGATCGCCCAGATTGAGAAGGACACCAAGGTCGCAAGAAAGTTCCGGTACCCATTTTTTCAGAAGATCCAATGGTATACCGCGTTGAGGTATCTCGAAGATGACCCGCTACCTGAAAGCGTACTGGAAGCCTTCGCACAAGACGAAAACCACCGCTTTCACCGAGGATACCCTATCTACTATGAATTTGGCGACCGAGCAAATCATGCACCTGCTGGGTCACCCTATCACAACTCGCGCTTCTATTCACAGGCCGAACTAGAAGGGTTACCCGATCTTGCAAAGTACCTTCTCCGTACTGCCCTAATTGCAGGCTCCTACCTTGTTGAGGGTGTAACAATGGATGTCAGGAATGCAGTCCGGCGATCGATACCCAAGGTGCTGGGAGACCCGGTCGATACAGTGAGGAAGTTCGGGATTTGGGTGGCCTGGAAGCGCGGCAATGAGAGAGCACCGCACTGGACTCGTCCTGGAGTGATTGAAAGCAACGCAAAGCTCAGTCTCACGGAGAAGAAGCCCGCCGGAAGACCCAGTCGTCGCTCCGAGCGTAATGCTGACAGTCAGCGCACATACGCGGAGAGACAGGCCGTGCAGCGGCTTCCGGAGCAACCTCGGGACTCTCCTACTGAGCTCAATAACCACAGCAACTCAAGTGTTCCCTCCAGTTCCGGAGCTGCTATGCCAGACAGCTCGGGTAGTGGAGCAAAAGAAGAGGCTGCTCCCAAGCCGCGCTCTGCACCCCGGGGCTCTGGATTGGGTCCCAAGCGGGTTGCCTGTGATGCTTGTCGCAAACGAAGGATCCGGTGTCACCATAAAGACGAACACAGCGACGGACTCTCCGGCAAGCAGACAGCCGTGGCCGCTTTTGCTACCGGGAACCATTCGTTGGCACACGACGCGGCATCGGCGCTGAACTCACTTGCCGCTATTGCATCGGAGGCGGGCTTCCAGGACAATGGAAGTGGTAGGAATCCGGACCGGTTCGAGGTTTCGGGAAAGTTCAACTCGGCCATCTTGAGTACGCCGCGTGCACCCGTCAACGGGCTCGGACTCAATGATGCCAGCCCAGAAGGCGCCAACACCGGAAAGAAGGGCCGCAGCAAGGCCTGTGACGACTGTCGGAAGAGCAAGGTTCGTATTGCCGCAAATTCTGTTTTCTTTTTTTGACGTTAATACTGACCGACAACAGCGCCGGTGTATCCACGATGAGTACGGTCGAATCGACCCAGTCAAGGCTCAAGAACGAGCAAAGCCACGTGCTGCCGCTTCTGCTAAACGACCTCGCACGAACGAAGAAGGAGTCGGCTCGATGCATAGCAAACGGATGAAGCAAGAAAGCACGTCGCCTACGTCGAGACCGGCGCATCTCAGTAACAGCCGTGAGGGTGGTGTGCCGGAGACGCAAGATGCTCGCCTGTCTGATCATGCTCATAGCGCCGTGGATTTCCAAGCCCCCTTCGCAGATGCGCCGCAGGTTGACCAAGTCTTCCCACGACAATCGGACATGACAGTCGAGGAGAAGGAAGCGGCCCTCGGCCCGACCTCATACGCATCGCCGCCTTCGTTCCAGACTGACGCTGTCGACGCGAAGGAGATCGACTCCGCACCTGTCTCTAAGCCGACTGCCACCCTTGTTTCACCGCCGACCTCGCTGGCCGACGAGACAGACGTTCCTCAGGACCATGTGGATGGGGAGGGAGATCATGCGATGGTCCTCCACACGCCAACATCAAGTTCTCGGCACTCCTCCCGCCAACCCCGCCAGGTCGACAGATACGTACCTGAAGTGCATGTTCCCAAGCTGGTCAGGGCCCCGACACATACGCCCACTGCACGCCGCTCTTCGTTCGGAGGGTCAAGTGGTGGTGCGCGCAAATCCACCCCGGGTCCGTTTTCGGGCTCCAAGAAGTCGTCCTCGCGGCCCTCCTCGTCCTCACATGCAAAGAAGAGCTTTTGGTCCACCGATGAAAGAAAAGGAGAGCGGCAAGCTACATCGTCGACGTCCCCTGGACAGCCGGGCAAGAACCCGAAGCGTGTTGCAGACGAGGAGCCGGATGCCGAGAGCCTTCGCTTGATTCGTGAACTGCAGGAAGCCGAGTTTGGATTACGAAAAAGATCCACGCGAGTTTGAAGGCGGGTCGGCTGCGGTACCTGGCTCACTCACCGATGGGGATTCATGCTGGGTATGATTTTCTTGTTTTTGCACCATTTTAGACCACCTAGATCGGGCGACTGGAGAAGTCGGGTTTGAGACGATCGGATTCGATCAATTGGCAGTGTTTGGCATGCGGAGTTTGAAAGGGACGGGAGTCTGATGGGCGATGCTTTGGCCTTGTTTTTGGCGTCTCGTTGTTCGGCCGGGTTATTTTTCGTACGGGGGGTTTGTTTGTGCTGCGGATTCTATTCGTCTCTATCCTCTGAGAACCCTTTCAGCCTTTTTTGTTTTCTGTACCTGGCGTTATCACCTTGCGGTTGGGAGTCTCGACCAGACCGGTCTACTCGTTCCTTTTTCTTCCTTTTTTTTTTTCAGGGTCTTCTCCTTTTGACTCTCTTGCCATTTTCGATATCAATTTCAGTTCCAGCCACGACTCCGACCCTGGGGTCGAGTCCAGTTTCTTTTCTTTTCTTTTTTCTTTTTTTTTTCATCTTTCTTCTCTCGATCTGCTATTCTTTCTTATACCAGTCAGTATACCTTGCTCTAGCGCTGCCCTGTGTCCTTCTTTCCTTATCCATATTCATATTGGCCATGTATTTTGTTGTTCCTGGGCAATCGTATCGTTACCATGGCGAGCCAATCAAATCTACCTGCTAATCCGTGAAATTTGTGTATGTCCTTTGTTCCATAGTCCATGTTGATTATCTTCTGTTGTAGGGTGTAAATGGGCTGCTATGCTGCCTGTTTCGTATCATGCTAGTCCGAAACGTGCGCGACTTGGAGATGATTGAGTCTGCTACTCTCCGTGGAACCCTGGTCCCGTCATCAAAATAGACAAGAATGACAACAATCCAAACTCTCTCTCTAACGTACCCATTCAACCTACCATCAACCTACGCCAACAAACGAAAACAAACTTCTATTTCTCATATATATATATAAGCCTGAAATCATCCCGTCCCTCTTCCCCTTAACGGCGCCTCGTCGCCGCCCTCAAGATCCACCTCCTGCTCAAACTGCCTCTCCACGATAATGGTATTTAAGCTCCGCACGACCGGCTGCAACTCAGTCTCATCAACATCATCGTCCATGCTCTTGAGAGCCGAGATCTCGGATCGGTAGCTGTTTCCTCCACTGCCGTTGTGGAGCTGCAGCCAAGTGTTATGGTGGTTGTGGGCGGTGGATTTGGATTGGTGCTGGGAGATGGAGGGGTTTGCGCTGCGACTTCGGAGAGTGCCTTTTATGCTGTGGAAGATGGATGCCAGGGATTTGTAGATCACGGGGAGGTTGGCGCAGAGGATTCCGCCGAGGGGTTCCCAAGCGGAGAGGATGCCGAGGGGGACGCCGGCCCCTGTGGGTGGGTGGGATTGGTTAGATGGGGTGAGGAAAGGGAAAAGGGGTTGTGGTTACGCACAGGTGTAATCTGATGAGCCTTGGGTGACGACAACGGTTAGTCGGGCTGCGCTGATGGCGCATGTTCTGGGGATGAGATAGATATTAGTGAGGGGTTGTGGATTTTGCCAGGTGCAAGACGCATGGAAGTATGGAAGGACGGATGGATACGAACGCTAAGCCGACGGAGAAGAGGAAACTGAGCCCGATTTTCTTATTCTTTGTGATCTGGAGTCGCAGGATAACGGGCAATGGGAGAAGGAAGATCCAGATGTCTGTGACGAGATTGGTGATGTTGGTGAAGTAGCTGAATGCGACCAGGTTGAAACATGTCCCTTCCACGCTGGAGTTCCAGAATTTCTCAATCGGCCGGCACTCTAGCCCTAAGACGATTTCCATGGTCATGAGCCATAGAATTACCCAGACTACAGTCAGGATGACGACAAGGCGGAACTTGGGGGTGATGAAGATGCGATAGTACAGTGCCAATACGGAAAGCTTGGTGCTGGCGATGGCCACGTCGTAAAAGTGACTGAAGATATAGTCGCCCTGCCGTTGGGACGGTCATCCGTCAGTCATCACGAGAATTGCGCGCATGTCCTAGCTTCCTTCGTACCCTCATGAATTTTTCGTCTTCGCCCGGGGGAAGAGCAGCGACATGTCGCCCGAAACCATAGGGAGGACCTGTCATGAGAAGGGGCGGTTAGTCCACACGGCACAAGAAATGCCAACACTCGGGACGGGCCGATCAAGCGCACCGTAAACCAACCCGCTGACACAGACACCAACTCCGATGATCTATCCAGAGTACATGCGAGTCAGGACACGACGTTTGCGGAACACTACTCTCCTCGCAGGGCAGCTCACCGTGGCCCAAATCATGAGGTAGTCATCGAACGCCAAGCCATTCTTCGAAGACGGCCTCAGTTTGATCCAGAGTCGCCATAGGGTGGTCAGGACCTCGATGGGAATGGGGACCGAGTATCCTACCCACACCTCCGTGACGCGCGACTGAGCCAGGTAGGCCGCTGAGTATTGCGTCCCCGAGGAGCTCATTGTGGGAGAGAGGTTACAGCATTTGCACAGGCATTCTAGCAGCCGGTGTCAGCCGGCCTGGCCATTGTGTTTTGTACCTAGGTGGTGCTGACTTGGTGAGGACTGACATGCTGACGGTGGGTCTCTCGCTTCATCAGACTGACCAGGCCACCCTTTCGGTAATGCGGCCGGTTTGTGCAGCATGTCCGCTGCTAAAAGAGAGACTAGGAGTCTAGGTAGTAGGTAGTATTGTCTCTGGTGGCTAGTGGGGTTCGGAGATTGAGCGAGAATCCTTCAGAGGTTGGAGTTCAAACTTCAGGCAGAGAGATAATATCTTTTTAGTTCCTTCCTTAGTTTGCAGCCGTTGCAAAACCCAACCCACGTGCCTTCCCCCGTGATCGAATGGCGGCGAGCGGATTTGATTGCGCTCCACTTGCATCCTTCGTTTCTCTCTCTTCCGGCCACTCCGTCGCGACGCTGTCATCCTATTAGTACCAAGGCCTGACCCAATGCACGCTCTACCGGCAGCATGCGCTAAAAAGCTTGCCCCTGAGCTGCAGCAGGGCCCGGACGCACTGCCGCTTAATTGCCGCCGGTATGATCATTGACTGCCCATCCCTGCCGTTTTCTCGCAGTAAATCGGACACTGATTGAATACACTCAACAAGTCGGCCCCCAAAATGAAGTTCGGCCAAGGCTTGTTGCTCGCCGCCAGCGCGACGCTCTCTCTCGCCAATCACCAACCCACGGTTGATCTGGGCTATGCCACCTATCAGGGCTCCTACAGTTCCTCATATGGGCTGAACGTTTGGAAGAGGTAAGCTTGACCCTTCCGATCCCCGACAGCCTGATCCGCTCTTCCGAACGTGGTCTGATACGTCCTGCATCCTGCAGTATCCGATATGCAGCTCCTCCGGTGGGTAAACGGAGATGGCAGCCCCCTGCAGCTCCTTTGCAGAACAACAGCCAGATCACATTAGCCGTCGATCAGCCCCCCGTCTGTCCCCAGTCCGGGGCCGCTGGAACGCCATACGTCTACGGCTTCAACTCGGGCCCGGGCGATGAAGATTGCCTGTACCTGAATGTCTACGCTCCCCCTAATGCGACGGACTTGCCTGTCCTGCTGTGGATCCGTAAGTCCAACCCGGTTCAACCTTTAACCGCATCTTTGCTAATTGCTGATGGTCTACCAGACGGCGGCGGGTATGCGCTTTTTGGGGCGGAGTATGACCCCAGTCCAATGATGAATACCAACAACAATGGATTTATCACGGTGGAGATTCAATACCGCCTTGGAGCCTTTGGATTCCTCTCCTCCTCCGAGGTGAAGGAGCACGGTGTGACCAACGCCGGCCTGCTGGACCAACGGTTTGCTCTACAATGGGTCCAGAAGCACATCACCAAGTTCGGTGGTGACCCTAAGCGTGTCACCATCGGCGGCGAGTCCTCTGGAGCTGGTGCGGTCATGCTGCATGCTCTGGCGTATGGAGGCCAGGAGTTCAATCTCTTCAACAACGTCCGTTCACCACCATCTCCTCCAGTGGCACCCAGCTGACATCCATCCCTAGGTCATCGCCGCGAGTGCCTATTCGCCGCCAAGTTACAACTACAACGACAGCGTTCCTGAGCACTACTACAAGAACTTTGCTGAACTGGCTGGCTGCGGACCGAACTCTACAGCCCTCAGTAGATACCCAACCACCTTTGATTGCCTGGTGGCGGCTCCCAGTGCATTGTTGCAGAATGCCAGTGGAACCGTCTCTACCTCCGGCCTCTTCGGCACCTTTGCTTTCCTCCCCGTCGTCGACGGCGACCTGATCCAGGAGCGGCCTTCTCTGCAGCTGTCACGCGGGAAAGTGAGCGGCAAGCGCATCCTTGTTGGCGTACGTTTCCCTTGCCCTTTTCCACCTTGCACAAATATTAACAACCCACCCCAGAACAATGCCAACGACGGCGTCCCCCTAACCAACCCCAATGTTGTAACCCGTTCTAAGTTCAACGACTACGTCTCCAGCACCTTTCCCCGCTTCACCAAATCCGACATCTCCCTCCTCAACACCATCTACCATACCAAGGACTCCCAACCCGTCGACAACGGTCCCCGCTATGACACCCTCGGCACCAGCGGCCCAACAGCATTGAACCAATCCGAGATGGCCACCGGCCTCCAACAAACCGTTCTCAACATCTTCGCCGAAACGACCTTCGACTGCCCCGCCCAATGGCTCGCCCAAGCCTTCAGCCACGGTCCCCGGCAAGCCTGGAAATACCAATACTCCGTGACGCCCGCGTACCACGGCGCCGACCTAGCCGCCTACTTCAGCGCCGGTGCAACCTGGCCCGACGCGGGCTTCCGCAACGCATTCCAGAAATTCTGGGGTCAGTTCATCATAGCCGATAGCCCGGTGATTTCGCTCCGTGATGCCACGGCCAATATGTCCAATGCGTCCGTTCCCATTGGCGCCAACGGGACTATCGACTGGCCGCAGTATAGCCCGCGGCACCCGTTCCAGATGGATTTGAATACCACGGGCGGGTATCTTATTCATGACGTGGTGACATCAAATCTCTCTTACTGGCTGCGCGAAGGTGACGGTATCGTTAATAATTTCCGGCTGGTGAATGCCTCGTCCTGGGAGGGCGGCCGCGGTGCTCGCTGTGACTTCTGGAGGGCTGTCTCGGAGCGGGTGCCTCAATAGACCTGTCTGACCTGAGTTGAGTCATGTTAGGCTCTCCTTGAGAGAAGTGTGTTAGCTTGCTTTTCTTGTGTAAGTATATGTATTCATACAAGATAGATTCGAGATAGATTTCGTTCAATAGATACTGCGTGAAGGTGCGTTATATGAATATAGGAGGGGAGATCCAGAATCAATTACTAACCAAGTATCTATTCGTATCTCGGCATATCGCCAAGCTCCCTGTACTTGTCCAAAATAATCCAGCAGAATGCAAACAGAACGCCACCATATGGCTCCGGGCCCATCCAAGCATCATGATATATAGTGTAGTGGCCGTGTATCTCGTCCATCGTGGTTTTCGGGGTCTAGCCCAATCATGCGCCAATGGTCTATATGGTCGACCAAGGAAATATATGAATCAAGGAAACGCCAGGGTATATCCACAGGAGATCACACCGGAATGAAAAACGAGCAAAGGATAATGTTAAGAATATAGATAGGGATGAGAGTAATAATAGTGGAAGAATAACCCCGACAAGCATAGGGCGGAACAATACCAACGACCTGTTGAGGTGGTGGTAGTCTATGCCAAGGCCTCGGTATAGCCAATACTCTTAAGGGTCATCTCGTCTATTCATGCTCTCCGCCATGCTCCGGACCAGCACCCGCACCCGCCCAGCGTCTAGCTCGTGTTTGGTCGCCGATGTAGTTCTTGATAACACAGGGGTCCTCGTCCCGTTGCTGGCAGACCTTGTGGCGGTTGAGGTGCTTGAACCGGGGCCCCAGGGGGCCGTTGACATAGTGATACTGACCCGCGAACCGATACTGTCGCTGGTCGCCCAGCGGATAGAACTTGTCGCCCCAATGGCCGTTGAAGTAGAACCACTCGGTCGGGGCACTTGGGGTAACAGTCGATGCGCGGAGGGCATCACTATCGTGGTCGTATGTGTAGGCGTGGGCATTCAGGAGGGGGTCCCACAGAGGGCCACGGTCGGTCTGGTCATGCAGCAAGCCCCAGGGGAGGATATAGGCATGGACGCCCGGGGTGGCATACATGGCGTGGGTGCCCATGGCGGAGTAGATCACGGGCTGGCAGGGATCCATGGTTAGCGTGAGGAGTCCCCTGGCGGGCGGAACGAACTTACCCGTTGACCGATCTTTTCGACGGCTTCATAACTATAGGCCTCCCCCGCTGAATGCGCGCTGAAGAAGAGCGCTTTGGGTTTGCCGTCGTGAAACCGCACGAGACAGTGCTCCCAGTCGCCCACATGGTTCCCGAAGCGCACGTTCAGCACTACGTTGCCCAGGTTGAAGCTGTAGAAATAGAACCAGAACGCGTCGACGATGCCATGTCCTTTATCCAGCACCAGTAGGACCGCCGGCGCGTTACTGCGCCCACCTGTCTTCTCGATATGAATCGGCTCGCCCCCGAACCGTCTACGCAGCTCGTCCCGGACGCCCTCGTCGTCGAGGTCTTCGGGATGCATGTATCCAAGATCCTCCGGAGACCAGCCGTCATCCGTCCCATCCGATGAGAGGCGGCCGGAGTCATACCACTTGGCGCGTTCGTCCGGTGTGTCACCAGGAATGGGCCCATCCACGCGACCATCCCAATCCGGCCATGACTGCTCGAGATAGTCATCGGGATCATCGGGGATATTCTTCTCGCCTTCAATCCAGGGCGGGCGATCCTCTACATTGTCATTGCTGGTCAGAAATACGTAGTGACCCTCTTGGAACTCATTCAGCTGATCCAAATCCTGCAGCGATGGATGATCACCTTGTGACTGGATGGGCGTATAGTTCAGCATGGGTGTGACGTGGTAGAGATGCTCCGCGATGTCGCCGGGCCAGAATTGCTCGTGCGAGGACAGGTGGACCAAGGGCGCATACTGGAAAACATAGTCAGGGATTTGCCGGCGAGAGCGTTCGGCTTCATCCCAGGCGGCAGCTGGGTGCAGCGAGTCGTTGAACTGGGCATCGCGCCAGGCGGCGTAGTGGGCCTCATCTTCGGGCGACCAGGGCCCCATAGTGGGCTGGCGCTGGCCATAGCGGGGCCGCACCAGCCGGAAGTGGGCGGTCCCGCACAGGCCGAGCCACCGACAGGCCTTCCGATCCCACCATGACGACGAGGAGGCGATCCAGTGCTGCTCGTCGTGATCCTCGGCGTACCAGACAAAGGCTGACGGGTTCACGGCGCGGGCGGCGCTGTTGACCAAGACATACACGATCAAGGAGGAAAGAGTAACAATGGCAGCTCTCGTGGCGCGAACCATCTGCTGACCGAGGCCGGAAGGCGCCTCAAGCTCGGAGTGATAAGGGTGCGAAGAGGGGAGCACCGTCAGCCCGCGCTGGTCTGCGGGCGTGAGAGTCGTTAAGGGGGAGCTGATCGGGCCAGCAGAGGTAGGATGCGAAGTGACCAGGCTCTCGGCAAGAGCGGTCAGGAAGGACTCCTCGGGGGGATGTACAGGAGAATGAGAGGCATCCGAGCCGACGGGGGAGGAGAGACAGAACGACTGCGACAGCAGAAGCAGCAGCAGAAGGGAAGAAGAAAAGCGACCGGGCCGGGCATTCAGGCCCGGACGCAAAGGCAGCGAAGGGGACACTATAAGAAGCAGCAGCGGGCAGGCGCGATGACATTGTCAGTCAGCCGGGCAGGGTCGAGAACAGCAAGAACGGAGCCCGGATGGTCAGGATTGTCAAGATGGGGGACAGATAGGGCAAGGATTGGCCATGGATCGGATGCAGTAGGGCAGGCAAACAGCGGCGCCGCAGTGCCGCTGTCGCATTGAGCCCATTGTAGGCAATCAGAGGGCCGGACGGAGGGGGAAGGGAGGGGGGGTTTAGGGCTGAAGGGGAATAGAGGGAACGAAAGGGAACAGGGAATGGACCACCGAGTTGCCGGGAGCAGAAGGGAGCCAAAGGCCGGCCAGGAAGCGCATCCAAGGGCCCGGCAAGCACGGAAGCGGCTTAGATAATGGATGATGGAGTCAAATGGGAAGGGGACGGATGCAGCTGGGTGCCCTTGCGGCCCTGTTGGCTTCCGCCGCGAGCCGGATCGTCATGATGGACGACGGAGGAGGACGGAAGGGACGGCAGAGAAGGAGGAAAAGGAATTGGGAAATTTCATTGCATCAGGTGGACTCACTGGTCAGTCCAGACTAACTATCTGGATGGAGCTGCAGCAAGTCCGTCCACGGAATGCCACCGAGATGGGGACGAGAAATATAGTGATGATGATGATGATGATGTAAGTGGGGATGAAGTCATCCGGTCGATCATCAATCAGGAGAGCTCTGCAGCTACGGTGAAGAGCAAGCTGGAGCTACTCGACAGGGTGAGGGGTTGGGGGGGGGGTGGTAAGAAGGGAAAAGGGGAGTTGACAGAGAGAGAGAGAGAGAGAGAGAGAGAGAGAGAGAGAGGTGGATGGATCCTCAGGGTCGCGAAGTCTAACCGTCAGCCTCAGTGGATGCCTGATGCGACCATGACAAACCGTCAAACCCGCGCCAGCAGGGTCTACCTTGTCTCTCCGCTATCTCTACACCCTACTCGGAGTACTCGCAGCTGCTGCGGATTCACCGCCAAGTCCCGATAGCCGTCGTGCCCGCTGATTAGTCGCCGCCCGGCCAAGTCTTGTTTTCTTCGGCCACTCTATCATCATCATCACCAACAATCCAACACAATAATCTGAACCACTGAATTACCACCATCATGGCCCTCCCCACCCCATTGATGCTGGATCCTGCCATGCTGGCCCAATCCACCCTGGCCAATCCCGATGTCCCCGATTCCGACTATGAATACGAGTATCATCCCACCGAGACCGAGGTCCGTATCTCGTGCCACTGCGGCCACTGCCTTGATTCTTTGTTTGTCGGTCGCTGCTGACTGCCACTAGACCGTCTATCTGACTCTCGATCTGACCTCTCTCCATGGGCCCATCCGGCCTCCCCGTCGCCGTGGTTCTTCCTCCCACTCCACCACCACCCCCTCCAATCCTTCCCATCACGATGAGCCCGACGCCGCCCTCTCCAGTACCGAAGCAGACGCCAGCCCCTCCGCCGATCGCGTGCAAATCCTAGCCCTCCACACCCCCAATCCCATTATTTCCTACCAAAACCAGATCTTCAGCGGCTCCTGGGCCGACCAAATCGGCACCGAGCTGCTCTTCTCCCGCCCCGAACACCCCCACGATGCGGCAGAGACAGAAATATCCACTCCGGTCATCCCGCTAAGACAGACCAAGAACTATGACCTTCTCGCTGCCAATAGCGTCAAGATCCTCGGTCGCAAAGCCAATCTCATCTCCAGCTCGTCCAATGTCTACGCCCCGGATGCCTCTGCTGCGCAGGAACCCGCCGAGACCAACGCGACGACCACCACCACCGCCTCTGCAGGCATGGTGCGCAAGACGGCGCCACAGACGAACCAGGCGCGCTTCCTGGACCGACTGGCCAGCCTTAAGCGCAGCAAGGGCGAGTCCGACCCTGTTCGGATGACGTTTAGCACCAAGCGGATGCAGAATCTGGAGGATCGCGTGCACGGCTGGGCTCGCACCGACGAGCAGCTGGAGCAAATCCACCGGCTGAACGAACTGGCGCTGTCGGGAGATGCAAATGCCATGGCGGAGCTGGAGGGTCTCTATTCGCGACTCGGGGGACATGAGGACGAGTTCGAGCTGGGGCAGGAGGAGCCACTGTCTCAGTCCTAGTATTCAATTGGGGACTGAGAGTTTGCTACACGACTGGCCTACCGCTGGCAACAGCGGAAATAGGCTTCCGGGATACGAAGGACGAATGGACGCGATCCGCGAGATCCAGACCTTTTGAGCAAGGTCACGTGCAGACCTCCGAAGCTCCGACCGAGGTCCAGGCACATGCCCAGGACGAGCATCGGGCCGGCGAGGGTAGTTCTACTGGCGGATCTACGGACACCGGATGAGTTAGACTTTGAACTGGCAGGGTTGATCGCACGAACCGGGTTGCGTGGCGCAATGGCGTCATGGATCGGCTGCAAGGTACATACCTGATTGCATGTGAGCGCCGCCTACTCTGTACGGAGTATACCCATAACGATACCGCGAATGCGTGTGATGCATGTGATGTGATATGATGATGAATTCACTGATCACCACGATCAATGGTAATGATAATATGTATACTAGTTGGTATACAAATCCTCCCAGCTGCTAGATAGCTAGCAGCTATCTCTCACATTTCCCATCAAGTACCAAGTCTATCCATCCCAAATAACCCCAATCAACAACCCAATCAAGAAACGATATAATAAAACCAATACCCAACCCAAATCCAAACGCTGAACCCCATCCCAAATCCAAGCCAATATTCCCAAACGAAACGCAACCAAGTCCAGCGCAGAAACAACACAATCCCGCTAGATATCCCAGCCCATCCATCCATCCATCATCACCACCCCCATTCAATCCCTTCCCCATCCCCCAAATATCCACATCCCTGAAAAGCACTAAGCCCAAAACCTTCTCATCTCAACGGGCGAAGGCGGCGGCGGAGGCGGCAGAGGAAACTCCCACTCGAGGGTATTCTTCTCTGTGTGACAGGGAGCACTAGTAGTGGTGGAAGTAGGATCGACGACAGCTTTGGGAATGTGTGATGAGGCGGAGAGGATAGCGCGGGAGATGTCCTGGGAGAAGGTTGTTGGGGAGGTGGATGAGGAGGATGAGGACGTTGTTGTGGTTGTTGTGGAGGGGGTGAGGAGGGTGGTTGGTGTGGGCCGGGTGAGGGTGGGTGACATTATTCTTGTGTCTTAGTAGTTGTGATGGTTTTGGGAGAGGTGGTTGTGGTTTGAGGTTGATGATGGTGAGGATGGTTGTGGTATAGATGTTGTATGAAAGGTGGTGGTGGTTGGTTGTGTTGTATTGTATGTTGTGGGATAGAAATTAGGTAAATAGGCAGTAAGTAAATAGTAACCCTGTCAAGAGTCAATCAATAAGTGATATGCAGATGCACATGTAGGACATATATATAAGATAGTGGGAGCCCAAAAAAAAAGAAAGAGAAACGAGCAAAAGCAGGGTCGGTCAGATGTAAGTAAGGCAGAAGCAATTCCGATATAGATGCCTGGGTTAGGCTGGAAGGGATCCGAAAACCGCCGAGGTCCTTTTTTTTTTGGTCTTTCCCTTCCCCCATGAGTGGGAATCGAAATCCCAATGCTCTTTCTAACCGAGAGGGAGGTCCGTGTTTGGGTTGTGCAAGGGAAAAGGAAAGAGGAATCATTGAGATCTTACCTGCGTGAATGCTGTGTTGTGGGTAGTAGAAGAAGATGGAGATGAAGATGAAGATGATGGGATGAAGGGCGTCCCGGGTGGATGGATGGAAGGAAGGACAATATATAACAATACCCCGTACTCTCTATTAAGTACTAGGAAGGGGGAGAGAGGAAGGAGGAAGGAGCGAAAGATAGAGTTGCTATAAAGCTACACCAACACCAGACAGAAACAGAAACCGATGTCTCGGGGCGGACCAACTATAAGATAAAGTATCTGGGGAGAGGAATGGATTTAAAACAAAAAGTCCCCTACTATATGTACCCCGTGTCTATCTCTCTCCTATCTAAGCAAGTCCATCAGGTAAATGAAGGAGCTCGAGAGCCAGCTATCCACCCATCCGAATGGATTACATCCCTTTATCCCGTTGCGAGGCGAGCAGTGTAAAAAAAATAAAAAATAAAGAAAAAAGGAAAAGGAACCGCCTCACCGGAGCCAAGGAGTCGGGTCCAGGCCACATACCCATTGGCATGGTAGTATCATCTATCTACTGGGCCATGGGGTAGGTAGTAGGTAACTAGGTAGGTATGCTGGTTCGGAAGGCCGGAAGAGCACGCCGAGGATGCAAGCGCCTGGGGAAAGAAAAGAGCTCCGCCCGGAGAAGGATGGGGAAACTGGAAAGACTTAAGACGTACGTGTGCAGCTCTGCAGCAGTGGGACGCAGTGGGGAAGCAAAAGAATCAAGGGCCGACTAGTAGAGTGATCGTCTCGGCGCATTATTATTATTATTATTTTATTATTATTCATGGCGCCAGAGTTCCGGGAAAGGCAGACGCTCTTCCATCGTGAGACGATCAGTCCAACTCTTGTTCTTTGGGAAGCATTCGGTCTGATTTCTCATCCCCCCCGAAGCATACGATCGATCGGTGGCAAAGAATCAGAAACAACCCCCCCCCCCCCCCCCCCTAGGTACTTGATAATTCATTCCCCTGGATTCATATTCATCTGATGCCTTGCCGGGTACTAATCGGTAAATAGTACGATAAGCTCTTCCCAGGCTGCTGGTCGAGATACTCCGATGGAATGATCATCTCCCATCCGGGGAAGGCCAAGATCGACGTCGTCAGCCCTCCACATTCCAATCCGCGCCTGCAATGAGAAGCCCTGTGCGCCGGTCGTATCTACCAGGTAGGTATCTGCTCGTTGAGTTGGAGCTTGAACCAGGGCCGCGGTGAGGGCCCCTGGGGTGTCGATCTGGGGTTGCAATGGCCGGATGTCACTGGTGCATTGGCCGGTTGACTTCGTAGCTTGCACAGACAAAGGGATGAGGTCTGGACTCTGCTAATCTCCAAATTGACTTTGATAGAGGTGCAGACCTCAGCAGCAGCCCTCACCGATATGAAGCGGGAGACATGCTGGTTGGATGTAAACCTGGACCCTGACTAGATTCCTTCCAATGCAGTCATCCAAGCTGTAGATTAACTATCGAGTGCATTATAAAAACAGTAAACCACCAGCCCACCCCGTTTTACCCATAGCCCTCGGCCCTTCTCTCCCTATCTATACATCATCACCGGCACATGCCGATGAGATTCTCATTGGCAACCAACGCCAAACGCCTCGCAAACCGAATCAGTGAAAACATCCCACCCCCCTTCTCCTGGCAGCATCTACTCTTCAAACTTCCTCTTCACCCCATTACTTCCGTTCGCCGGTCCCCCCTGTCTGGCCCGCTCCGCCATCTGCGCCTGTCGCTTCTTCCATGCCGTCTTGATCGCTGGTGCAGCCCGGATCAGGTCCTCCTCCGTCACACGGTCCTGGATACTCTCCAGCACTTTCTCGACCGTCGAGATATGGTTCGCATCCGCCTTATCATCTCGAATCCGATGGAACCGCCAGCGGCCCTGATCATCCTTGGCGCACTCGACAATTGCATCATCCAACGGCTGCTGTAGCGCCTTCATGTCCTCCCACTCGGCCGGGGTAACATACATCTCCCCGAACGGCTGATACTCATTGGAATTGAGCATCACATACAGATGAAAGATCGGAACGGCCTCGTAATCCTGGTACGGCTCTGTGACCCCCTCCGCCTCATCATCGGTATCCGGTTCCAGCAGTGGGAACTCCAAGCGCATGCGAAAATCAATCGTATTCTCCGACGGCGGCTTCCACTTCAGAATATGCTCGTCCGTACCAATGCGATACGGGGTACTCCGACACGTAAAGATTAGGCCATCATTGCCATGGATCTTCTTCACTTTGGGGATAATGTCCCGAAACATCATCTCAATCCCGTAACTAAACTGCGTCGACTTATCTTCCACTGCAAAAGCCCGGTGCTCCTTCTCCCCAGGAAATCGATCATACAGCGCATTGTACGGCTTCAACACCTTCTCCTTGAAATACGCGAGCCGTTTATCCAGCGTCCGATGCATCAAAGTCTGCCCATCCAGCACCAAGCAATCGAAAACAAGGAACTTAAGCTGCTGCGTCCCATCATCGTATGTATCATTCACCAGTTCGCCATCCACCAGCGTGTCGACGTGGAAGCTCTGGAACGTGTCATCGTCGGGCAAGGGGAAGTGCAGGCCCGGCACGTAGCGGTACTCGTTTTTGCGGTCGATCAGGTAATGAATCTCGGGCATGTCGGATTCCGGGTCCCCCCGGGCAAAGTACATTAGACATCGGATGCCATCGGTCTTCTCGCACACGTAGTAGTCTTCCCGTTGGAGCTCGGTCAGGTGCCGCGTCGAAAAACTGACCGGTTGCGCGCCGGGGAAGTTGAGATTGCTACGACCGAGGAGGGTGGCAACTTCGCGGCGGAATTGATCTGCTAGGTCGGGCTCGGCTTTGATGCCGACGGCGTCGAGGTCGGGGACCGAGTTTCCCATCTTGATTCGAGGGAGGCTGTTGGAGGGGCGCGATGAGTGGGTGAGCTGAGGGTCAGTAGCCAGGAGTGGTGGTCGGGTGGGGGTAGAGCTCTCGCCCGCAGGCGCCGGAAGCAAATGTGCTTCACAGTAGTTGGATCCGAAAAGAACAATATGAAAGGGTGGTGGTGGTGATGGTGGTGGTGAGTGGATGTGGAGTTTCAGAGCCGGAATAGTGAGAGCAGGCGCATTGAGGCGAGAAGGTAGCCTTGACTGTATCTGCGGAGGTTCGGAGATGTGTGGCGGCCTGAGGCATCAACTGCGGTCTGCTCATCCCGCTGACCATGCCATGATTGTCAGTCCACAACACCTAGCAGCAGCAGTAGCAGTAGAATAGCTACCTACCATTTACCTATACCCGGGTTAATCATAGGCCGTGAGCAGAGTAGGTTACATGAAACTGAAACTGCACCGATGCTTCCAACATCCACCGGTAAAAAACTGATTGCGTATGCACATTGATTGCAATCTGACACAACCGTCAAAGGAACGACTTAATATACAATAATGCACGCCAGGGACACTCAGTGCGGGGTATCTTATCAATCGCAGCAAACCAAACCAGACCGGAGAACCCTTCCAGAAACGCCACCCAGCATTGCCCAAACTCCCTGACCAGAAACCATCCGTTGGAGAAGACCGTCATCAGTCGTCAATTGCTGTGCTATGATGAGCTGACCGCCAGGGGCAACTTCTTAGGAGCCTGCGCCGGCGTCCTTCCACCAGCATCTGTAGCGTTGTCCGGCGCAGCTGCCGGTGCAGTCACCGTCGCAGGGATGGGCGAGGCAGTCACTTCCTCCACCGGTGTGAACAGGTTGCCATCCGTGAATGGAGAAGAGACACTATCACCCGTTGAAAAGAGGCCACCGCCCCGGGAACCGCCCAAGGCATGGGACAGCATCTCTTTGATGCGCACGTACTGGTACTTCTTCTTCGTCGAGATTCGTGTATGAGTGATCAATGGCTGCGGGTGGGAGCGGGAAATCGCCGCCATGACAGCATCTTTCTCTTCATCCGAGTCCACAGGCCCGTTGTTGTCTAGATCATCCTGCAGGGGAGCATTGGCATCGATGGCAGCCTCTGTAGAAGCCACCCATTAGCATCATTCATCTCATCTAACCAACCAAGCTCCACCACGTAACAAAAGAACCACTTACTCTGCTGTCTCGCCTGATTCTTCTTCTGATACGCCTGCAACAGCATATCATACGGCAACGAGCGACCTGGTACAGCTCTCTTCGCGCCCATCGAATGACTCTTACAAGTCAACGATCTCGCGCACTGCGCACCATTCGGCAGAGTGACACCACACTGCTTCTCAACATCCACCGGGCCCTTCGGTTTGGGCGCCTTCGGTTTGGGCTCCTCCTTCTTTTTCTTTTTCTTCGGCTCCTTATCCTTATCATCCTCCCCAGCCTCGGTCTTACGCTTCTTCCCCTTCTTGGTCCCATCCTCCGCCATCCCCTTAACAGCCGACTTTTTCGCACTCTTCTGCGCCTTCACCGAATCCTCCCCAGGACCTCCCTCCCCCTTCTCCTTCTCTTTCTCCTTTTCCCCACCGGCACCCCCAGCCCCGGTCCCCCCAGACCCAGACCCAGGAACGCTCACCCCCTCCTCGTCCCCATCCTTATCACCCTTCTCCTTAGCCCGATTCGCCGCATCCCTCGCCTCCTTCTTCTTCCTGGCCTTCTCCTGCTTCGCTCGGATACACCCCCGAATATGCTCGACTGCATTCTGCTTCAATACCGGCCTCTTACAAGTTTTACAAATAACCGTCTCGAGATGATCTTCTTCGCGGGGTTTACCCGTCGGAAAGGCCGCCATAGTCTTCTGATCGATTTCGGGCAGGATGGGCGACGATCCGGGAGGTGAGTCGGGGGCTGTTCCCAGTAACATAACAATTAGCTTTTCGGCTCCTCATCGCTCAAGCGTAGCAAGTAGAGCTATACAGACCATCATGTTTCTTCTTCCCCGGCTTAGCCGCCTTCTTCAGTTTAATCTTCCCAAGCTTGGTATCCTTCTCGGAATACTTGTACCCCGAGGCATCGACTAAGCTACCTGTCGTAGATGCAACTGAGGATGCTGCATGTATCAGGACGAGCGCGTTAGCATGTGAGCATACAAGCCAGCGAACAATCAAGCGACCGATAAAATAAATGTGAGAGTGACTTGAGTGAGTGGAGCGGGCCAAAGGGATGGGTGAGTGAGGTACGGACCTCTGCCGCCGTTGGTCGTAGTAGCCATGAAGAATAACTACCACCGGGAAGCGCGACCGGTGGATTCCGTAATGCAGGAATTATGTAGACAATAGAAGAGGGAGAGACTGGCTCCGACCGGACGGGACCGTGATGCTGAGATGTTCCGAGGGTCGAGGCTGCGCAGAGCAGAGTCCGGGGCCCTCCGCATTTGGGGGGTCACGTGCGGGTGCCCTGCTCGAATTGCTGGAGATCGCACTTGAGGTCTGTACCGGAAAGAATTGATGATCTATCGGATCTGAGAAGGTTGGAATGTGATTTTTAGTAGGTTTGGGTTATATTCTTGGTTTGGTTGCTGGAGGCTGCGCTGGGTGGCAATGGGAGGAGTCATCCTCACCTCCAGACCAACCATCCCGCCGGGGAGCAGCAGCAGCAGTACTAGTCTACAAGTTAAAAATTATCATGAATGGCTGTCACGGACCACGTTGGCCAGTGAAAAGCACCGATTTGATCTGACTGGCCGTTTATTCACCTGGTATTACAAGTCTATTGATACAATGCAATGCAATATGCAAAACTGCCAATATCATATGATATGCAGCCGCCTACCCTGCATACTTGGAGAAACACAAGCTGCTGTTCGTCCCTCCAAATCCAAAACTGTTCGTCAGAGCCACGTCAATGCGTCGCTCCTGGGCCTGTTTGGGGGCATAGTTGCAGTCGAACCCATCAGCCACCCGCTCCAGATTGATGGTCGGAGGCATCACATTCTAGACCCAGCGTTAGCATTGTCAGACGGTTCCGGCAGGGCTGCTTACCTCGTTAACCGCGAGAATAGAAAATAATGCTTCAATGGCGCCAGCACCACCAAGCAGATGGCCGACAGCCCCTTTGGTGCTGCTGATGTTGACCTCCGTCGCGCGCTGCTTACCCCCCGGTCCCAGCAGCAGAGACTTGATGGCAGCGTTTTCCGCTGCATCCCCGACAACGGTCGAGGTAGCGTGTGCATTTACATAGTCGACCGCAGATGGCGAAATCCCAGCGTTTTTCAGGGCTTTCTTCATGGCTAGAAAGGCGCCTTCGCCGTTTTCTTTGGGCGCTGTCATGTGGTGCGCATCGCCAGAACAGCCGTAGCCCCTCAACTCGGCGTAGATACGGGCTCCTCTAGCTTTTGCGTGTTCGAGTTCCTGAAAACGAATTAGGAGAGCTTCAGTGGCAATCACTTGTTACGGAAAATACCTCCAAAACCAACATTGCCGCGCCTTCACCGACCACGAACCCTTCCCGGTCCGCATCAAATGGCCTCGAAGCCTTCTCGGGCGAATCGTTAAAGCTTGTCGCCAGACTGCGTGCTCGAGCAAATCCTCCGACGGCCAGCGGGTGGATACAAGACTCTGCTCCGCCAGCCAGCATCACATCTGCATCTCCGCACGCAATGAACCGGGATGCATCGCCTATGGAGTGAGCACCAGTGGTACAGGCGGTGGTTGCTGAATGGTTTGGACCCTGTAGAATTAGCACCAGGCAAGTAGCCAGGGGACGTATTCGTACCATAAATCCAAATTTCATAGAGATGTGCCCGGCGCCGAGATTGATCAGAAGCTTAGGAACGAACAATGGCGATACCTTTCGATAGCCCTGTAGACTCGTCAACGACGCTCGATGAGCAGTAGATTTGCGATACCAACCCCTTTCTCATAGGCAACAACAGTGTCATAGATTTCGTCAAAGTTGCCAATCCCTGATCCAAGGCAGACTCCCTGACATCGAATTAGGGCTGTGTTGCCAAAGAATCGCAATAATACATACTGTAGCTTCTCGCTGTTCCGAATTTGTGGGCTTCCAACCCGAGTCCTCCAGCGCCTCTGTCGAAGCAGCCAGCGCATACTGTGCGAACCGAGCCATCTTGCGCTCATCCTGCCGGACATCAGCTACAGTCATAATGGACACTATGGCAGGCCTACATCTCGACTCAGCCACTCTGAAGAAGTCCAACATCCGTCCTTCCGTTTCCCCTGCGGCACCACCGCCGCGATCTGGCAGGGCAATTCTGTAAACCTGGCATCGCGATGGTTGACGTTGACGATGCCGCAGTGACCATCCAGGAGACGTTTCCAGGTCCGACGGAAACCTACGAGATTTTACTTAGCAAGCAGCATGTTAAATTACCTCGAAGCAACAAGCCAGAGCCGGTCATCGTGTACAGTTGCCTTCCTGGGCATGGATATGAGGCAGTCCAAGACCTTCCCTTTCTGGAAGAGCGGGAGTGGAGACGCTGGAGACCAAAAGACGGTCGAACCGCGGCGAGGGATGTTGTTGAGGGATCCCAGTGACATTGGGGCGTTACTCACCTACTCCTAGAGGTGTCACTGCTCCGAGACCAGTCACGACAACACGACGCATGGCATTCTGGGGGATACGATACGTAGTTACGTCGGGGTTGTGTCCGCCTCTACTTGCGGGTGGTCGTTCTCCGCAATCCGGAAGGAATGAGGAATATCGATGGCCACTATACCAATCAATGCTGGGGAAACGCGGGAGTGACTAGTAGCAGCCTGTAGTCGGACTGTAGAAGGATGGAAGAGAATGGAAGCGAGGGCAGCAAGCTGCTGGGGAGGAGATTGTAGGAAGTCGAAGGGGAGCTTCAGCCAATAGACAATCCGAGGGAGGGTGGCCAAGGGTGTTCCTTCCGCATTGAGACGATGAAGAAATCGACCAGAAGGGAAGGTCCGCACGACGTCAGCCAAACCAGGCCGCAAGGCCATCCACCTTCTCTTTGCGGCCACCCGCCCAGCCAATAAGGGCGGGCCCTCGTATCGATAAGAGATAATCGGAGCTTTCCCCGTGGCCATCGATTGATTGATTGCATGTATTTTTTATGTCAACGCAGTGCCTTCGCGGCCACAAGCCCATTCAACCACCGCTATTTATTCCTTACCAGTGGCTTTTCCGTCTTCGCTTCCCCTCTCTTTCTTTGCAAGCTCTCCTACCTCCCCTTACCCCTTCAACCCCTTCGTGTGAGAGGCCCTTAATTCCATCATGAAATCCCTCACCTGGGCTGCTTGTCTGGCACTAGCTGGCACGGCCATTGCCCACGCTCACCATGACCACGAAGAAGTCCCGGAAAATGTGCGCGAGGAGCTGCTGAAGAAATGGGACCAGGAGGTACGATCCCGATTCCATCCGCATCACTCTCACACTGATCAAATCAGTTCACTTTCTCCGGCATTGCTAGCTTCGCCCACCTGAAGCCGGTCAGGTGTCTGATCGAACCCGACGAACGGTACGATATCGCCGTCATCGGCGCCCCATTCGATACGGCCGTTAGCTACAGACCAGGTAGGTCCACCATGGCACCAACAACCTCAAACCCACTCCCGGGGGCGCTAACACGCCCCTAAGGCGCTCGTTTTGGTCCCCGGTCTATTCGCGCGGCCAGCGCCCGCCAGATGGCCGGCACCAGCTACAACACTCGTGCCGGAATCAACCCATATGCATCCTGGGCCACAGTCAAGGACTGCGGAGACATCCCCATTACACCATTCGACAATGGCGTCGCCGAGCGCCAGATGTACGAGGCTTTCCTGGAGTTGGGCTCCCGCCCCGCCCTGACCGCCGCCGACTCCACGTACGGTACCAAGGGTATCTCCGCCGGCAAGTCGAAGCTGGTCACCCTGGGTGGCGACCACAGCGTTGCGCTCCCCGCTCTCCGTGCGCTTCACCAAATCTACCAGAAGCCCATCACCGTGCTGCACTTCGACGCCCACCTGGACACCTGGAACCCGGTGCGCTACTCGGCGTACTGGACGTCGGAGCAGTCTCACTTCAACCATGGTAGTTTCTTCCACAAGGCTAGCCGGGAGGGACTCATCTGCAACTCGACCTCCGCTCATGCTGGTCTTCGGACGCGTCTGACTGGTGTGGACGACAGCGATTACACCAATCCCGGCCCGGAGCAGGGCTTCATGCGTATCCATGCGGATGACATCGATGACTTGGGCCCCATGGGCATCGTGGACCGCATCATTGAGCGCATTGGCCTGGACTCCGAGCAGCCCGTGTACCTGTCCGTGGACATTGACGTTTTGGACCCAGCCACTGCCCCCGGCACTGGTACCCCCGAACCCGGTGGCTGGACGACCCGGGAGTTTATCCGGATCCTGCGCGGTATTGAGAAGCTGAACATCGTTGGCGCCGACATCGTCGAGGTGTCTCCCAGCTACGACAACAAGGGCGAGACCACCGCTTTGGCAGCCGCTCAGGTGGCTTTTGAAATCATCACAAGCATGGTCAAGGCCGGAGCAGGTGAAGACCTGGGAGGATGGTATGGACGCAGGGCGACAGTTGAGGAGCCTGTGGAGAAAGAGGTCAAGGATGAATTGTAAATGCGATACGAAGCGATATGTATAATGAGTTAGTGAGATGTCTAGCACTCGATGCAGGTACATCAACGAAGAAATAGTCATCTGGCTGTCTATCCTACACTCGCTCACTTAGATCCTGTCAATAACAGGTCTGATAAGATGAGGCTCCTGAATAATATGAGGCCCAGAAACTAGATCGAAGCTACCTAGTTCCCGAAACCAGTACCAAAAAAGAAACAAGGCCCTCTATTGATCACCAGGTAAGACCCGGTCTCTAATTCCTTAGCAAACAGAGTTCCATATACACACTGGCCAGAACAGGAGCAACATAGTTACCTGGGTAAATATGAATCGACCTCCCTCGAGATCTCTAATCATGAATGTATATAGTAAACTTGGTCATCACTATTGTATCTGTGTTATCTAGTCCAGGCCTCGAAGAAAGGGCTGCTCAGGCGAAAGAAAAAAAAATTGCACAGAAAATTGGGTTGGGGGATCGGCATGGTAACAGATCGAATAATATGAAAAAATGACGGAGGGTAAAGAAAGAGAAAAAGAAAAAGAAAACCGTCAGCCAGCCAAAACAAGACGCCTCGACTTCCAACGCCGGTAGGGACGATGAGAGTTAGAAAGGGAGTAAGAAGGAACAGGAAAGCGGAGAAGAAGTGGAATGGTGGAGGGGGGTGGAATGGACAGTGGGGGGAAGAAGAGGGTGAAGAGGTAGGAGCGTCAAGGAACGCAGGCGAGGGCGGACAAGACGTAAGTCAGGAGACGAGTTCCAATAAGCGATGAGGGGGAGGTTATCGATGGCAGGTCTGCTTGAGATAGACGGCTCAGCAGTGCAGGGACAACCGAGCGAGAGGGAAGATCGCACTGGGGGGGGGGGGGTTACGGGTTGTAAGATGTGTATTCACTCAAGGATCAGTGAACAAACACAAGATCTCAAGTCAAACGTCGGTCGAGTAAGCCAGCCACCTCCGTACGAAAGAATCCCCAAAACTCCATATTGCATAGGTAAAGCACATTCAGTCTCCCAAAATCATACGACGTGTCTGCGGTGCATCAACGACAGGCCTGAAACCCTCCGGAGCGTACGGACCTGCCCTGTAAGATACCGGGATCGATTACAACAGGACGCACTTCTTCGACTTCTTGGGGGCAGGCTCAAGTGCGGCAACAATCGCCTAGAACGGAATCTGTCAGTACGGACAACGCCACGGCCTCGGCGCGACACTCACCTCGTCAAACACGTCCTTGAGCTTGTACTGCGTGAGAGCGGAGCACTCCACGTACTTCACGGCACCCAGTTCCTTGGCCATCCGATCACCATCCTCCTTGCGAATCGGTTGCATTTTCTGGCGGGACAGCTTCTCGCGGACACCGGCGTCTTCCCGAAGATCGGTTTGGGTGCCCACGATCAGGCAGGGAACACCGGGGCAGTGGTGGTGCACCTCGGGGAACCACTTCTCACGGACGTTCTCGAAGGAGGCAGGGGAGGTGACCGAAAAGCAAACGAGGAAGACATCCGTCTGAGGGTACGAAAGGGGACGGAGACGATCGTAATCCTCCTGACCGGCAGTATCAAACAGCCCCAGAGTGTACGGCTCGTCGCCAATCCTAATGCGCAAAGGGTCGGAGTCAGTCCCAGATTCCAGCATCGGTCACTGACGCCATCGCGTGGGTCGAACCAGCGACGTGGGCGCACCCACAACGCTGGTGAGAGTGGAGGATAGCGCACTTCAACTCGGGGGTTCGAAGTGCATCAGAGGCTCCAACTTACATGACGGTGACGGCATAGTTGTCGAATACGGTGGGAACATATTCCGAAGGGAACTTGTTGGTCGTGTACGAGATTAGAAGGCAGGTCTTGCCCACGGCACCGTCACCGACGACAACACACCTGCGACAAAGAGCAACCAGGATTAGCAACTTGCCGCTCGATAAAAGAATCGGAGTTTCGGATACGCCGAGAAAGGAGAGGAGGTCGCAGAAGGGAGGGGAATAAATGGGGGGAGGGGAGGGGGAGCTGATTGCGGAGAGAAAGGGATAAGGAGAGAAAACAACGCACTTAATTGTTGCTACAACCATGTTGGAGACTTCAGAGGACCTTAGGAGTTTGCGAGAAGACCACGGAGGTTGTCTGTCGGGAGCCGAAAGGGGAGCAAGACAGAAGGAGCAGGAGATGCGGTGAACAGGGGGGAGGGTGGGTGGTGAGGAGGAGGAGAAGGGAGGGAGGGAGGGAGGAGCCGGGTGAGGGGGAGAACTGATTGAGGGTGGAAGAGGGAGGAGGGAGGAAGTGGAAGGGGAAGAGAAGGTGAGGCGGCTAGGATAGGGAGGACAGACGCGGATGGGCGAGGCCGTCTGGGATTCACGGATGGGTGGGAGTGCGGTGAATGTCGACGGGGAGAGAGAGACTGAGAGGGATGATGGTTGGTGAGGAGGGTTCCAGCCAATGTGGGAGGGACGATACCTTGACTAGTAGCAAGAGTAGTAAGGAGGAAAAAGAAGCTCTGCTCTGCTCTGCTTTGCTGCTGGCTGCTGGCTGCTTGCTGGCTGCTGCAATGGGGCAACCCGCACCGTTAGTTAGCTTCTGCTTTATCGAGGTTGGTCGCGCCAACCCAACCGCCGTTTATCACTGCACTTCTCTTCCCTCTCTCTCCAAAGTCGAAACGTGGATGGGAAACTGGGGGGTCACTGCCAAATTAAACTTCGCCGATTAAAGAACATCGAGGGGAAAAAAGTTCCTCTTCCTCATCCCCTTTCCTCCTCCCGACGAACATCCAGATGAAAAAGAAACCAACTCCCGGCGATCCACAACCTAAGATAAGAGACAACTCACAGAGATCGGACCAGGGTCAATATGACGGCAACCTAGACACCCACACCTCGGGATCCTTCTCGTTCTACTTTTCCGGTTGAAGCAGCGGTTTCCAACAGGAGCCTGCAAGAAAAAAAAAAAAAGCAAAGAGGTGAAGAAATGTGAAGCTTGAGGAGCCGCGGCAAACAACAGGATCTATCTAGATGGATGGGGGGAAAGGGAGCCAAGTCATCCGCTCAAAAGGAAAAAAAAAAAAAAAAAAATCAGATAGCACAAGACAAACAGCGCAAGAGGACAGGGATTCAAAGGAGGGAACAATGCCTCTTTCGTTGGCATTGGGCTACAGTTAGTCACAACGTACACTTACACTTGAGGAAAGTTGGGTAATTTCACCATGAATCAGTGACACTGACATTGGAAGCTGGGCCAATCAGTCGCCCGCACCCCGGTGGTCACACTGACTGGCCAGTCCTACTAGCTTGATTCGCTACGCGCCCAAGGAGGTGAGGGAATTGTGATCAACTGCTTCCTCCAGTTCCCAAGGTGGCATCCGTGACGAGGTGGCCATGCCATCCCAACCATCCCCGACCGCCCTGTTCGATGTTCTTGTCCAGACTCACCCCAATAAAACTCCCCGCGCTAAGTTTCATGACGGGTCCAGAACCCACCCCGGGGATATGTACGGAGTATCAAATAATCCAATATCAAGCCCCTTCAACAACCTCACCCTCGGCCGGTCTGCCGGTGGCTTATCGTGGCACGGCTACGACAGTCAATAAACAACCGGAAAGAAAAGGAAGACAAGACGTAAAACCGAAAATAAAAGAAGTATCCAATGCTTGCTATATAACGTAACCCGTAATCATATAATCTAGTCGTGACATCTATAAGATCCCGCAGGATCTGTTGCTGCTGGCCTTTCTCGCCGTCGCAGCGTAAGTTCCGTAGCGTAATCATAAAATCAACCCAAGACGCCACATGCTTGCGTGGCAGTACTGCCTCAATCCCACAGCACGCGAATTTATCCCTCATCACAGTTTAATCATGATTGTATACAATCAATTTTTAGATCTCGGGCAGGGGCGAGAATCGAGCACCGCTACGATCTTCCAGAGATGATGTCTTTCATATATGTCTGTACATAGTAGCACACTCAAGATAGATCCTAGGAGGACTGGTGCCATCGCTAGGTCTGTTTCGAGCGTCCTTCGGCCTCTGGTTCCTCAACCGGGACCGGCTCATGGTGCGGCGTTTCGCTCATCTACTCCTTTGTGAGCCACTCATTCAACGTAGCATCAATCTCATGGAGACTTACCTTATCCAATCTGTAGTTGGTCATCAGTAGACTCAACGGAATCAACGGAATCGTTGCAACGAACGCCAAAACCAAAAGCTTGTTCATTGTCTCCTGGTATGAGCGATTGATGGCAATTCGGGCTGGTGATCCCATCGGATAAGACAATGCCTTGGTTAACTTCCCAAATATTTCACCCGCATCGCCTTTGAACTCGTCGGGGAGGTAAAGTAGGAGTTTCCGTGGAATATGATGGGTCCAAACAGCTCCCGAAATCGCAGCTCCAACTGCGCCACCCATCTCCATGGATGTTAGAAACATTGCCGTGGCAGCAGCAACCTCCTGATGGCTGGCAGACGCTTGAACACCCAATTGCACAGGAACATTGAGCAGTCCGCCACCCATGCCAACAACAATCTGGGTTCCCAAGATCTGTGCCGGCGAGCTGCCTTCCTTACGGTAAAGCAACATCAACAGGATTCCGCACATGTAGATCACGCAGCCGATGGTCACATAGATACGGTACCGCCGAGTATATTTGATCAGCAGCGATACGGAGAAGGCAGCAATGGTGGATGTAAACGCAAAGGTTTGGGTCACCCGGCCAGCTGTGGCGACATCATAGTCCTGGACAACCTGCAGGTAGGAATAAAGGTAGGGCTGGACCGAGAAGTAGAACGCCACTGTGACCCGTTAGCAAGGAGATCCAGGGTCTCGGACAGAGTTGAACCCACTAAAATAAAAGAAGGCCAGGGTACACCCAGCGAGCACCGTTTGTTGTTTGAGAAGGTGCAGAGATAGCAAAGGCTTGGGAGCGAGTTTCTTCGAGGTCTCCCAGGCCGGCAAAACAGAGAGACAGAGCAGACCAATCACGATCATCGCGATGATGCTGCCATTCTCCCAACCGTTCTTGACACTAGCAGCAAGGGTGAGGGGGACCAAAATCAAGGTCACCGCCGTAGATAGCAAAATCAGCCCGAACATGTCGAGGTCGTACCACGTATGCCGAATAATGGCACAGAGCCCCCGTCGATGCGGGTGCCGGGGCTTGATCAGATTCAGTCGTCTAGCCTTGCGTTGGTTGAACAACAGCGAGAGTGCCAAAGGAAGAAATGAGGCCGGCAGGAGGATCGACCACATTCCATAACCCCAACGCCATGATGCATGCTCAAGCACCGCATCCGCGATTGTTGGTCCAATCCAGACCGTAACAAGAAATGGGAGCTCGGGCAAGAGCGCCAGTATCGCACGGTTGAGTAGACTACTGCTGTCGGCAATGAACACCTGCTGAAGGATTTGAAGACCGGTAGAGCCGGCAGAGTAGAAGATCTGAGCAGACGCGTAAGTCTGGACGTTGGTCGACGCAGCCATCTGGATATATCCGAGGACGTAGATCAAAATGCTAACACAGAATGCTTCGAATCGTCCGAACACGTCGGCCACCTTGGCCATAGGGGGCTTGATGACAGCTGTAAGGGTCAGCGGCTAATGAGAATTAATAATAGGCAAGGACAGCCTTACCGTTAACCACATTCTGAACAACCAATACCGTGGAAATCAGAGAGTGCTTGCTAAAAGCACTGGTCGCATAGGCCGAGAGGGACATCACAGTCTGGCCCTCAAGAGAAGTACAAAATGCCATGAGAAAGATGCTTCGTCGCGGTCAGCGCCTTCACAGATGATGGTAAATCGACTCGAAGTCTCAAGGCCCATCAAACCCACCTGATATATGCGATGATCAACGATCGCGTTGTCCATGTCAGATTGATTGCTTCAATCTTCCGGACACCATCCTGAACCGAATCCACCAAAGACTCTACTTCACTATCATTTCCTTCAGCTTCATATCCCGCCGGGAGGAGGCGTTCCTCCGCCTCTGGATTGTTTTGCTCCATCTGATCGAGGGTGCCATATGAGATTGTTGAACGGTGGTCAAGAAGGGGCATCGCGGCTGAGCCGTAGTTGTCGATCGATAACGTCGCTGATTAGCTATCCTATGACCAAAGTCCATTTATTGCGATCGGTCGTCGAGGGTTGAGTCGTCTTGAAGGCAGCAGGTTTGGATAGATTCAGTGTCGAAGCACCGGGGATCAAAGGACGGGGGGGCTGACGATTCCAAGGCTAAGCGGACGTCGAAGGGATATCTGCGACCTGAACCAGCCAGATCCACTCAGTGAAAAAGCAATGCACTAGCCAACGAAGAGGGGGTATCAAAGTCTAAAGAATAAGCAGGGGAAAAAGCAAAAGGCACTAGCAAGATGGACAACCCCGAGGCCAGGCTTGGGTACCGCATGCATCAGTTAGGTCACCAAATCAGACAGCGGATGCGCAACAACGCGTGGATCGTCAGATCTGTCGTACAGTACGGAAGACTGGGGCTGAACTTGGAGTCTGCAAGCCCGAATCAGGCTTCCGATATGATTCACACCAGCGGGCGAGATCGACAGGCTGCACTTATGCACGTCGTAGTGGGAGGCCAGGACCTAGTAGCCTATGGGCTTAACGCCCGTGGCCCAGAAAGGCAGTGTGGCACCCGCTGAGTTGCTGCGCCAGACGGTCCGAACGGAATTCTCAATGTAATGCCCTGTTCCACGCCAATCGTTGATCGAATTAAATCGAGGAGCCTTTCGGGCGGGCTGGGTCGTTGCAAAGCTTGTGCCGTGGACTCGGGCACCCATTGACGGGAGGGGGTTTCGTGCACAGCCGGATCAAAAGCGGGAGTCGGAGGAGAAGGAGGAGGGGTTAAGTGAGCAGGTACCCCTGGCCTTGCTGCAAAGAAGGCTTCGACTGCAGGAGTTCACCAAGGAAAAGCGTGGTGTGTAGGTGGGGGGAGGAGAGGAGGATAGTGTGGCAAGGCGACCGGGATTCTGAATCCTACGCAGGCGGGCAACCAGGCATCAGATATGATAAGATCACCTGCTCCGGCGGTCGGACCGGTCACCACACGATAATAATAATATAATACAATTGTGTTTCTCTTGTTGACCGTTGAGATCTAAGTAAAGCCAACCGAGAATCCATGGGTCTGTAAGATCTAAACAATAAGCAGGTACCTCTATTCTCTGAGTCTAATACTACTGTCCCCTCCAGACCGCCTGGCATTCTGCTCGTAAGAAGAATGAAGGCGCGCATCCTCATTGCCCTCCCCCTTGCAGGCCGAGCGTGACTAGTCCAGTGTAACAGGCTCGCTGACTAGTACAAACTACTACTACATAGTGGACTCATTCAGATCGATCCCCCACTCGGTGACTCTTAGGCTCTTAGCATTGTCTAATGAGGGCCAGGGTAATTGTAATCACGCCAAAGTGATCCGGATCAGGAATTTTCTGTTGCCCAACAATACTTGCAGTAATTTCGAGAGCAAAACCGGCCCCGTTGCATGATTGGGGGAATTCCACAACCGCAGCTGGATGGATGACTCGGGAACAACCGCGCCTGGTCATCATCCGTCGGTCACGGGTTGCGCATGCTCCGCTCTTTAGGTCGACTTACCCCTCCAGTAGTAAACCGAGCAAAGACCTCATCAGATCATATGAAAAGCTAGGACACAGCGGACACTTGAAGCCTTGGAGGGGCTACTCCTGCCGGTCGATATCGACCATGACGCGCGAGAGCCGCAGAAATAATCATGATGAGTGAGATATTTTCCGCCGGGTTATCTTCAGCCGGAGACTTGTGCCGAACTCTAAAGATCCACACTTACTGCAAAGGGGAAAGAGATGGATTTGGGCCTCGAGGGCGGTTTCGCAAATCGCAAGGCTCCCGGATGGATACGCTTCCACTGTACGACACCGCCATGGTAGAGCTTAGCGTTGTTTTTTCCTTGTATGGGTTGCACACGGAGATTTTTCACGGTTGCTCAAGATCCTGGAGGGACTCTTCTGTTACGGTGTTACTTCGGATCTCGCTCATGTGGCCGTCCTTGCATCTACTGTGCTCCCCTCTCCAACCCCTCATCGATTTAGTCCCTCTTTGAGATGCCAAACGGGTTGTGTTTCGACCTCTTGAACATGTACATGACACTACGTGGTCCTGAAGTGACACCTTCTGCTGGTAGTGTCGCATGTGATCTATTCCCATATCCACATAATTCTATGCTCCGGGCATATTCATTCCCTTTTCATGTACTCAACAATGACGGTGGCCGTGTTTTTTTTCTTTTCACAAATCACTATCCCAAAATGCAGAAGGCCATGACAGATAGCAGGGTCTAGACCTTCATTGACAGTTGTTCTGTGAAACTGTCCCTAGATGAGCCTATAAAAATTATCCAGCACATCGAACAGCCAGTACGAATGTCAAGTCACCACACGTTCCTCGGGACGACCAGTGGAATCGCAAGCTGTATCGGGTGCGTTTGGGTAGGTACCTAGACCCGGTATACCTGGACAAAGTAGATACACGGCGAATGTAACCTGCCACTTAGGTATCTGTCCTGCCGGGTGCTTTGTGTTGGCACCGCATCTACATAGCATTGTCGTGGAACTTTACTGCCCTGATCGATCAAGCACGGAGGCTTTTGTTTCTCAATGAAACCTCAAGGTATGTATGTATCTCTATACCCGTTCTGGAAGGTTGAACATTCTCTGAACTCACGGAAGATACATAGTCCAAGTATCCAATTGCAGGCTCGACTCAGTACAATATATGTATGACGTGATAGTCATGTTCGTCATGCTTGAATTACATTTGTCCATTAACGCCCATTACTCTGTCGCTTCAATGATCAGATGGCCAAAGTTCACCACCAGGTCCTCCCCTTCCTTTGAGGGCCGAGCTGCGTATAGCCCAACCCAGAAGTCCTGAACTTCCGGCTCTTCGAATATCCAGGTGATCTCTCGAAGTGGAGACTTCTGGATGCCCTCCACAAGATAAATCCACAGGCTGTTGTCCGCCTCTTTGACAAGCTCTAGTGTCGCCGCGCCACCCCCCGATGGGACCGGCTGCAGACTCCAATCCGCCCATTTGTCCTTGGTGACGGTACTCAGGTGAGGTCGGCCGCGGGTGAGCTCAATGCCAGTCTTGACCCATTTCCGGGTCCCGCCCGGGCCGTTGAGGACCAGAATAAGTCCACCCTGGTCATAGTTTTGTTGCCAGAGCGCATTGAAAGCGACTCGAACCCGCTTGAACGACTTCAATGGAACGGTCTGGTATAGGATGGGTGCGTTGAAGATGTCCGTGGACGGAGGTTTGGACCAGGCATCTGTGGAAGGGGCTGCTTTGATAGCAAATTCAGCGGGGAGGATTCCATCGCCGGGAACCTTTTGGGAGGAATTGGCAAAAGTGAATTTCGTCATGACTCTTGGGTGGTTTGTGGAGAAGGCTTCTTGGAATGTCTATGAGATCTCCGCGCCACGAGAGGATTGGGGTTGGAGAAGGGAGAAGGGAGAAATAGAAGAGAATTGGGAGGAAGACCAGGAGATTGAGAAACTCTGTGATCTCAAGAACACGAGGGTCGCAAGAAAGAAAGACCGTAAGAATGTCTACGTCATATTGAATGCGGAGCTACTACCATGGCGGGTGCCCGGGTTGACCTGAGCCACAGGTACTCTAATCAGTATACTACGGAGTACAGTCTGGCCTATGACAGCCATGACTCCAGGCGAGTGGGGTAGTCGGAGCAGCCGGGCGATAAGGTCGAGGTAGTAGTTATCTGCTGACTGCTCAGGTAAGCTTGATTATTCCATCCCCGGTTATCCCAACCCTTCTTAGCAGTTTGGTGCTGGTTGGGAATAGCCTCCCCGACGACGACTCAATCTCCCCCTCTCAACAACAGCGATGTCGAGGTCGATGGCAATGCCATGTCGGGTCCTGGTAGTAGTCCTGGATTATCGGCCGGGCACGTGAAGCGGGGGACCTCCTTTCCCCCGATGACATAAGCAGGCACTGCCTGGGGAGCCCCCGTGGCTTGGAACTCGCAAAAGTTTGGGGAAAGGATGGTTGGCCTCGTCGTTTGTCTAGCTCTGGTTTCATGATCTGCTCCATATCAGGCATGGGCTGAGCAACTGAATCTTCGACTCGCCTATGAATATTCGTTGGCCATGACTTCTGGCTTCTACTACCCCGATGAATCCAGGAGAGAGCCCCTGTGGTCGCGACTCTTTTCGTCCACTTATGCTGGGTATCGCCACCTCAAGCCTTCCACGTCGAGGCGCCCCGGTCGTTATCGTCGCTTTCTAGTCCGTCGGATCTGCCATTATCTGTATGCCATCCCCGGGATCGTCTTCGCCCTTGTCGCCCTGACGTCGTTTTTCCGGCCCTCCTATACTCGGCCACCGCCACATTACTCGTCACTTCGGGATGCGGTGTTGCAGTCGACAGAACCCGGGCGAGGCAACTCCCGCAACGAGAAAGTATTCATCGCCGCGAGCTTGTATGATGACACGGGAGACCTGGCACGGGGACATTGGGGGGACAGTGTGCTCCAGCTGATCGAGCTGCTCGGGCCGGACAATGTGTTCCTGAGCATCTATGAGAACGACAGCGGGCCGGAGGGCGAGAATGCGCTGCGAGAACTAGCGGAGCGGGTCACGTGCGGCAAGTCGATTGTATTCGAGGAGCATCTGGACCTGGCCGGCTTGCCGACCGTTGCCGTTCCCGGCGGATCACGGCGGATCAAGCGTATCGAGTACCTCGCGGAGGTGCGGAACCGAGCCTTGCGGCCGCTGGACGACCAACCCGACGTGCGCTACGACCGACTGCTCTACCTGAACGATGTCGCCTTCTACCCGCTGGACGCCCTCCATCTCCTGTTCTCCACCAACGCCGCGGAGCATGGCCTTGCCCAGTACCGGGCTGCATGCGCCGTGGATTTCATCAACCCCTTCAAATTCTACGACACGTATGCGACGCGTGATCTGCAGGGCTATGGCATGGGCCTGCCTTTCTTCCCCTGGTTCTCCAGCGCCGGCCACGGGCTGAGCCGCAAGGATGTCCTCGCGGGGAAAGATGCCGTGCGGGTGCGCAGTTGCTGGGGAGGCATGGTGGCCTTCGATGCGAGTTTCTTCCAGCGTGGTATCAAACCCCTGACGGCTGGTGTGCAGCCTCTGGGCTCTGGGGAGGGCACCTCGCCGGCTCGATTCCGGGCTTCACGTGATACATTCTGGGAAGCGTCCGAGTGCTGCCTTATCCATGCCGATATCCAGAAACCTCAACCCGACGTGGAGGCAATCACCGACACCGGGATCTATCTCAACCCGTACGTCCGCGTTGCCTACGACAGCGGTACGCTCTCCTGGTTGGGAGCGACCCGACGCTTTGAGAAGCTGTACGCCTTACTCCATAATATCATCGACCATCTCGTCGGCCTGCCCTGGTTCAACCCTCGTCGCACCGAAGTTCCGGGCCAAACTGCTCAGGAGATCGTGTGGATTCCAGATGAGCATGATGATGGGAATGGGTCATTCCAGCCGGTCCATCGGATCGCCGGCACGGATGGCTTTTGCGGACGTCGAGGACTCCAAGTCATTGTCGAGCATCGCCAAGAAGGGAAGAAGGGTTACGAGAATATCGAGGTACCTTCCTAAACGGGGGTCCTGTAACTGTTTATATTTGCTTGTGTGCATACTGTACTCTCTCCTTCATTGTGTTATAGGGTTACTATTAACAGGTACATACAAGGGGCCTGAAGACTCCATGGTTTGGACATAGAGCTTGACTGCATCACAATAGCAAACGGAATCTTCCTGGCCTGTGTTACACTGATTGTAGATACATGCCCATCCATTCACTTGTCATGTACCCACCCATCACGGTTGGTTCAGTCTATCTATCAATCTGGATTTTGTGTTGTGACCATGGCGATGATATTGATATGCTGTCTAAGCCGCTTCTTCACCCCGGTTGCCTGTTTCCCCAGTTACAGTACATGAAATGAAATAAAGGTTGTTCCCTTCTTTATCTATCCTCTCTCCTCCCTTCTTGCCTCCATCCTCCTTACCTTCATCCTACATCTCACATCCACCCCCCTCCTCCCAACGCATCTTGTTACACCATGGAACACCACTCCCCCGACCTTACCAAACGGATAACCACCATCATCTATGGGGTGATAGGAGCTTTCACAGACCGGGCCCCAGTTGGGCTAGAAGAAAGCCGCCATGCCCCCAGGGTGGAGGCTCAGGGCCTGGAGCGTCGGTCCCTTGTGGTCAGTGTTTGTCCCGCCCTCTGTATTCTCCACACATCTCCTCCCCCTGCTCGGTCTCTGCCATCCTTTTCTCCACCTATCTTCCTCTGTATGTTGCTGGGTGATCGGTCCCAATATAGGGAGGTAACCCCCGGTGCGCTAACGACTGTGCCTTAACAGAAAGCCCCTCAGCGTTGTTCCGGTAACCAGCCGGCTTCCTTCACTTTTGTGAACACGCTTCACAACCACACTACTTCTACGTCTCCTGCCTCTTCCTCTTCGCGTTTTCCTCCCCGTGTTCATCATCACTTTACCCCTTCCTCCTCTGCCTCTCCTTCCATCAGGTCTTTTTCGTCTACCTCCTCTGTGAAATCCAAGTCTACCAAGATGCCTGTCGCCGATGTGGACGACACCGTCGGCTTCATGACGGCCGCGCGGACCTTCAAGCTGCCTCAAAACTACGGCTCCCCCGCGGTTCATTCTGCTGTTGACGCGTCCAGCGAGCAGGGCAGTGTTTCCAAGGCTGATGCCGACTTCCCTGCTGATCCCTTTGATCACGGGGCTACTGTATCGCGTGACGATATCTTTGGTAAGTGAGACATGGATGACGATACTATGAGTTAAGGTGTGATGCTAACTTTGATGTATCCTGTAGCTCCTTCCAGTCCGACCGTCCCTGGCGATCTTGAAAACAACTCTGGTTTCGAAGAATTTGGAGTGACGGTTGAGACTCCCAAGGCCAGGGAGGCGTCTAACGTGGCTGGTGACTTCTCGCCCCAGGATGACACTACTGTTGCTGGCAGTGCTCAACCTGTTGGCTCGGATGCCGTGACTCCTGACCAGATCAATGACGAACAGGAGGACCGCACCGACCTTACTACTTTCAAGAGCTGGGGCGTTCCGGTCGTTCGTGACAAGCCAGGTACTTACTTTGTCCCTCGGTGGTAATCATACTGACGTGCTTTGCTTCAGCTGCTAAAGTCCGTCGTATCATTATCAACGGCTTGCCTACTACCTGGTGCAGCCCTGCCAAAGTCCTTTCGTTAGTCCACGGTGGCATTATCGAGAGCATTAGTATTTCTGACCACGGAACTGCCCATATCCTCTTCTGTGACCATGAGGCGTGCCAGGCCTTCTACGATAAGTATCCCAATGGTATCGACCTTGGCCGAGAGAGACGACACACTGTCTTTGTGGAGATGGGTAAGGACGTTGATGTGGTCAGCACCAAGCTTTCTTTCAACCTCTCTGTTGGCTCGACTCGCGCTGTGAGAGCTGTTGGGGTCGACATGAAGATCACCATGGAACAGCTGGTCAAAATTGCCAGTGTCAACGGTCGCAAGGTCGAAAAGATCCTGGACTCATACGTTCCTGGCGATGTAAGTATTTGTTCTCTTGGTTCGTGTGCTATACTGATGTCACTAGGCTCGCAACGTGGTTTTCCGTTTCTGTAACATAGAGGATGCCGTACGTTTCCGCTCTGCTCTCGTCCGCGATGCCGACTGGGAGCACTGCAATGTGCAGTACGCGACTGATCCGTAAGTATTGATTAGTTGATATGGAGTTCACTGCTGATTGTTTAGTTGCGAGTTCGCTACAGGTATGCATTTCGACTAGTGGTTGCTTAAGGCTACATACACATGACATTTGTGTCTAAAAACGATGTATGACGGTGTTATGGTGATGAATATCGGTGATGTATCTGGAGAGGAAATGGGTAGATTGCTTAAGGATGGCGTATGGATGAATTTATGCGGATAGTTGATAATCAATAAGAGATGTTGCGTCAGCAATGTGTTGTGTAGTACTAGTTGTGTCCTTGGTAGCCGGAAGATATATACTAAATGGGATATACAAGTACCGACACATGAACTCACCACACCAACAATCAACATGCAACTCAACTCCAGCTTTAACCACAGAATCCTCGGGAATAAGTAACCACATTCATCCCAACCACAACATGTCTCAATCCTATCCTCACCACTTACCAAATCCCATACCCACCCCACACCCATACACACAGACAAATACCATACCAATACATGAAACCATACACCCCAAAATAACGCAATACCATACCATACCACCTACCACTACCACGACCGTACCTACAGAGTATAGATGGAACCATGGAACCCCCAATTCCCTTACCTAGTAAGTAGTAGCAAGCAGTAAAGTGCAAGCAAGTAGCAAGGCCCGTACGTTTACATTTACATTTACATTGACCTACATTCACATCCTGCATACATTATACATACATTCCAGATCCCCATCTCAGCGAGTCAAGTAAGACAAACACGAATCTTCAATCCCCATCCCGAGCCGATCCTCCATTCCACGCTTTATTTCCATTTACATTTGACATTCCAACGGAGATAAGCCAATAATCGACTCCGTACATTCATGAGCTAATGCATACGGAGTATAAAGATTAGGTATATGAGGTGCATGAATCGTATGTTATTTCCCCCCTTTCCCCTTTCCCCTTTCCCCTTTCTTCCTTACTCCCTCTATCTGTTGCTTGGGTAATCTGGTAAATTAGTTATGAATAGATCAAATCAAATTATACAGAGTCATGGGAGGGTGCTTACTTACTTGTTCTAATACTGGCTAGTACGGAGTACTTTAGTATAATCAACTAATACAGGGTAGAATAGACATGTACATGAGAATCGTCGGATCGGATTGAAAGATGTCTCCGACTAGTGTCCGGCCCTTGTCCCTGTCTCTGATTACTATATATACTATACTAAAGGACGGCGTACTAGTATGTGACATTGTGTTAGTTAGTAGGGTACGGAGTAAAAAGTACACAAGATAGACAGTAGACTCCGTCGTATAGGATAGGTGTCTATTTGGTTCGGAGATCGGACCGGGTTGTGAGTTAGTACTCCGTACCTACTACCTAATGTTGAATAGTAGTAGTACTAGATACTGAGTACACCTATAGCAGTGGGGTGAATTTCCCGACGGAAGTAGTATGTACACAGTATGTATACTCACATGTAAACAAGCTATCTTCAGACAGCTAATTCTTCACATGAATAGCACAAACACACAAACAAACAAACACACAAATAACTATATAAACAAGGATCCAGAGAACAACCCATCTATGGACTTAGCCAAGTACGTAACCACATCCACTACCTACATGTTTACATTTTATCCGGCCTACCTATGTACTAGTGTTAGACGCCTCAGGCAATCCCGTGACAGACAGCGCGCCCTTCCAGCATGCCAGGGTCACAGGACTTGTAATGAGACAGGCCATCTGACTAAGTAATCTGTACAGTTAAATAATCTAATAAAATTGTTACAGACCCCTGCTAGCTAAAGCGACTAGTGAGGCGGTTACGTCAGGCAGAAGGCTGCGCTCGGAAAGAAGACAACTCTTATCGGGTAGAACCCTGAGCTGAACCGTCATGTGTCACACGTCACGTGAACGTGGTATACGAGCAAGCATGTGGTATACGGCATACCATCATGGTCTATGACTACCGCATGGGTATACGGCAGACCCGATGGTATATGGAATGGTATACGGGGAATAGGATATATAAGGACACTCCTTCATGTACTTAGCTAGTCTTGTTCTTCGTGCTTAATAACATTGTCTTTAAGTAACCATATGTTTTAATAAAGCTTAATAATAATACTTATCTGTATTTACTTACAGATAGCTGCGCGGCACTATCTGGCCTTACTTCTCTTCTCTTGTTCAGGACCAGTCATCTCTAGATAGTCATCGATCTGACTTACCTTGATTCAGTTTAAAGATACGTATAGGAACGGGAGCTAAGCTAACAGGAACAGAAAGAAGCGATCCTAGGATTTGACACATTGAGCACCAGTCAGTACAAGTATTACCCAGTAATAACTATTCATTATATTGACTACATCGAACTCATCGCGTGCCCCACAGCAGCAGGGCCTGACAACACAAGAACTGATGGATATGGTTAGTTAGTTATAAAAAAGCATCACCGTCTTAGAATAACAAAACCAGTTACTTAAAGATTGCTTAATAGTTAAATCTGTTAAGGTCCAACCACCAGAGCTATTCAACGGCAATCGAGCGAAGCTCAGGGCTTTTTTGACCCAGTTAGACTTGTACCTCAGCATGAACAGAGAAAAGCTCAGAAATAAGATTAATAAGATCCTTTTTATATCTATCTACCTGACTGGAACAGTATTTAATTAGTTTAAACCATATATTTACAAATATCAAGAAAAATTAGTAAATAACTAAGATAATAACACGAAGCAAATCTTCGCCAGTTATACCAGATTTAAATAATATCTTAAACAAATGTTTAGAGATATTAATACAGTACAAAACACTAAGTAAAAGTTATAATAACTTAAGCAGACTGGATCAATATTTAAGTATACTTCAGAGTTTTTATAAATTATTAATTATTTAGATTAGAATGACGACACCTACATGTTACGGACCCCTGCTAGCTGAACGACTAGTGAGGCGGGTACGTCAGGCAGAAGGCAACGCCCGGACGGACGACCACTCTTATCGGGTAAAGTCCCGAGCTGAGTCATCACGTATCACATGTCACATGACCATGGTATACGGACAAGCATGTGGTATACGACATATCATCATGGTCTATAACTACCAAACGGGTATACGGTAGACCCAATGGTATATGGAATGGTATACGAGGGATAGGATATATAAGGACACTCCTTCTTATACTTAGTTAGTTCTGTTCTTCATGCTCAATAACACTGTCTTTAAGTAACCATACGTTTTGGTAAAGCTTAGCGACAACACTCGTCCATACTTACTTACAGATAGCTGCGCGGCACTATCTGGCCTTACTTCTCTTCTTCTGTTCAGGACCAGTTCTCCTTAGATAGTCATCGACCTGACCTACCTTGATCCAGTTCAAAGGTACGCCTTGGAATAGAAGCTAAGCTAACAGGAACAGGGAGAAGCGATCCTAGGGTTTGACACTACATCACACAATTCAAAGAAGGACTCAAGATAGAGATTTAAGAGAAACTCATCTGGCAAGAATAACTAAATATATTACTAAAGATGATTAAAGCAACAGTCAAGATTAATAATAAATTATATAAATATAATACAAAATAATAAGAGGATTGATAAACCAGTAGATCTATATCTTGATAAAATAGCTAAACAGGTTACTGAGCCAATAACAAAAGATCAGTACAACCTAGAAGCTTGGGATATAAAGATCTTTATAGATTAAAACTAATAAAGCTAGATACAGTACAGTATTAGACTTAATAGAATCAAGTATCCAAGGAGAAACTCAAACAATGTAAATAAGACTACTTGTACTTTAGCTGCAGCAAAGTAGATTATTAATTAAAGAACTATAGTCAAAGTTAAAAATAACCTCAGAAATAGTTGAGAGCTATAAACCAAGATCAAGGCAGAGAAGTCTATAATATCACTATTATTTAGTATAAAGTTTAAATAGACTTCGTGATATGGATATTAGATAACAAGAAGTTATATATTATTCAGTATAGTCAGCTATCAGAGAATAAGATATATTATGATTAGTTAAGATAACAGGCCACTATGGATGAGCTAATAGCACCACTCAGTTAATAAGAAGATTAATAATTATCTATACTATTAACTTAGACCACAGAAGTCAATAATAATAATTATAAGCTAATTCTGAGGAACGACTATCCCAGTATAATTTAGAATAAATTTAATCTGCTAGATAAAAAGTATAGTACTTAGCCTGAAGGTCTTAAATCTAGTAAGAAGAGACTTAGCAAGATATTCAATATCCTGAAAAAACCTTTATTAGAAATTAGTAAATCCCGTCTAACACAGTGAGACAAGGATAAAGAAAACTAGAAGAATAATTAAGAAAATATTACTTATTAATTAGACCACATCTTAAAAGAGATCTCAGAGAATTCAGCACAATTTTATCTAGAACTTAAGAAGATTATACAGTATTGCCCATATTAGGATTTAGAATATTAAAAATCATAAAATAAGACTTAAAAATAATATCTATAAAGATATCTCTGTTATCTAAAAGTTTATCTAATATATAGATAAGATAATACAGATTATTATTATTAATTATTAAAGATTAACTAGAAGGTACATGTTACAGAGACAGAATCTTAATATAATGAACCATGTCTGTACGCTTATTTTAAAGAAAGTAAGGATTATTAAAAACATAATAAACTTCTTTAGCTTATATACTATATAAACACATGCTTAATATATCATAATTAAAAATATATTACTAACTACTAATCTAAGATACTGAAAGTAGTTAGGACTAAGATAAGCTACTATCTATATTTAATCTTTAATTACATATACAAAGAGTACCAAAGACATTCTTATCATAGATTAATATATTAACTAGCATATTTTAATAATCAGTGTATGATATACTACGCGGTAAAGATAAAAGGCTTAAGATTTTTAAAAAGATATCAAAGATAGTCAGAATCTAACTGGCCAGAACAGCAATTAGCAGTTACTTAATCAGAACCATATCTAAAGATTCAAGCAGTCATATTAAATTAACTAACTCAAGTACTGATAGACTCTAGAATAACAGGAAACTTCATGAACCCGCGATTTATACAATAGCTTAAGATACTCAGATAATAGAAAGTAGAACCTAAACCAATTATAGAACTAAATAGAGAGAATTTGGAAACTCTCGCATTAACAGTCAAGTCAGGAACTATACTTATAACTGTAAAGAATCACTATAAGTATATAGACTTTAATATAACACTTTTAA